CCATGTAAGACACCAGGGTGGAGTTCCTGCAGCCTTCAACCTGGCTTAAACCTAGCTGTTGTGGCCATTTCAAGAGTTAACCAGTTATGGAAGACTCTCTCTCAATCTCTCTCTCCCTTCTAAAAAATAAAATTAAGAAATTGTCCTTTTAAAAAATATTTACTTATTTTTCTTGTAAAGTTAGCTTCAGAAGAGTGAAGGAGAGACAGAGAGAAAGATCTTCCATCCTCTGGTTCACTCCCCAAGTGGCCACAACGGCCATAGCTGAGCTAATCTGAAGTCAGGAACCAGGGGCTTCTTCAAGGTCCCCCAGGCAGGTGCAGGGACCCAAGGCTTTGGGCCATCCTCCACTACTTACCCAGGCCACAAGCAGGGAGCTGAATGGGAAGTGGAGCTGCCAGGACACAGACTGGTGCCCACATGTGTGCAAGGTGAGGACTTTAGCCACTAGGCTACCATGCTGGGCTCTAATTTGTTCTTCTGAAAGCCACAGTTAAGAATTAAAATGATTTATCTGGGGAAATTATTAGATGAATCAGCTGTATCAGAAATAGGAGCAGGTGTTTGGTGCAGGTGTTCAGGTACCTCCTGGGATGCTCACATCCCCCATCAGCACTGGCTTCACTTCTGATTCCAGCTTGCTGCTAATGCGTTCCCTGGGAGGCAGGGCACGATGATTCAGGTGGCTGCGTTGCTGCCACCCACAATGGGACACCAAGTTCAGCTCCCAGTTCCCGGCTTCCGTCTGACCCAGGCCCAGGTGTTATCATTCAGGCACTCAGCCAGAAGACAGTTCTCTTTGTCTCAGCCCTTCAAATAAATTTTTTTGAAAGAAAACATTCATTTTTAGTTTTTTTTAAAAGCCTCTACATTGTCAATCACAATTATAAAAATATCAGCTCAGATAGTTATGCTGAACAAAACAGAAATATCTTAGGTGAGAATTCTAGATAATCATATATACTACAGTAAAATCAGTTAAACCCATACCTGATATTCACTTGAACAGAAAGTTAATTTTCTTCTTGGTGAAATACTACAAGTAAGCAATGTTAACCAAGTTATAGTCACACTTAAAAATATAAAGGCACAGACAGAAAAAAGAACATTCTATCCAGATTTCCCACTGTGAAAATGAAAAACTGAAAGAAATAGGATCAAAAGTACTGATGCTTTTACATGTTTTAATTTACCTTAACTGGCTAATAAACGAGTATTTGAGGTTACAATGGGAAATCTAATCCTCTCCAAGTGATATAGCAAAGTGGCTTGTTTATGAACTGCATGCATCGAATCACCTAAAGCTTGGCATGTTTCCATTCACTGGAACTCCTACCTGTACTACAAACAAGTCTTGTTCTAATAGCTTACAATACACAGAAAAACACCAATTGGCCAACCTTTACGTAAGTGTGAGGTTTTTTTTGAAATTCACTTTCTCTTTGGTGTATACTATTTAAAGTTTATTTTCATTTTAGTAACAAAGTTACTTTATATACAGTGTAGAGTACTCAACATTTTCCCTTATTGAAACTGATCTGCATAACAAATGATCTTTCTTTCCTAACTAGATGAATTCTCATATCAGACATGCTAAGTGATAAATGCAAAAGAAGTTAAAGCTTAAATGATCGGTATGTGATAGCTTTTAAAAAGAATCATTAAATGCTGTCATAAGGATAACATTTTGAAAGATACATGGAATATAAATTTGTTAAATAAAAGGAATTTTTCAAAATCCTTGTAAATTCAATCTTTTTTTTAAAGTGTTGCTTAAAGAGTTTCATGTTAAGACTTATGCTTCTTGCTCTGTGTTTTCAGGATATTATCAACTCAGTAGTAGCAACATTATTCTTGATCATTTTATCTGTATTGGCACTGCTACCAGAAACCACATTATATACCATCTTTGGAGGGGTAAGTGAGATTTTTCTGGCTTCTTGAGGTTTGATTAGAAATTTATATACAAATAGAAAAGTGAAAAACTATGCTCTATTCGTCCTTGAGAGTCCTAGGCCTGAATGTAGCATCTAATGGCTTAACATGTTGTGTGTGAGAGTGCTTGCCTTTAGTAATGTGAAGCAGTATTATTTTACAATGGAGTTGATCAAATATAAGAGTTCCTACATAGTTCTTATGGGCATATAGTGCTAGAACAGACTGAGAAAAGCTACTAAAATCAATGCCAGCACTTAGCTCTGAGAAACCTGATATGAAACCAGAGAAAAGCATGATGGGTGAGTTTCAAAGCTCTCCCTTTTTAAGAAAAATATGTAGATGCATATCATTGACAAGATGAGACAGCCTGGGACCAGGGTTGTGGTGCATGAAGCTTTCACCTCATAGAGGTACCAGTTGCAGTCCCAACTTCTCTGTTTTCAATCCATCTCCCTGCTAATGCACCTGGGAAAGCAAAGGAGGATGGTCAGAGTACTTGGCCCCTACAATTCATGTGGGAGACACAGAAAGAGTTCCAGGCTCCTGGCTTTAGCCTGGCCCAGCCCCAGTTGTTGCAGCCATTTAGGGAGCAAACTAGTTGATGAAAGATCTCTGTCTCTCCCCCTCTATCTGTAATTCAACCTTTCAAAGAAATAAATACATGGGCATTTTTGTGCCTGGGAAAGCAGCAGAAGATGGCCCAAGTGCTTGGTCCCTGGCACCTCCCTTAAAAGATCTGGATAGAGTTCTAGACTCTTGGCTTTGCCTTGGCCTAGCTTGGCCTTGCACCGCTTTGGAGAGTGAATCAGCAGATGGAAGATCTCTCTTTCTCCCTTCCTCTCTCCTTTCTCCTGTGTCTCTATAACTGCCTTTCAAACAAATAAGTAAATCTAAATAAACAAATCTTAAAAAGAAATAAATATGGGTTTCATCTCTTTTAGGCTCTAAGCAACTATGAGTAATCACAACTTTTCTAAAACTGACATAACTCCCCCACCAAGTTGTTTGTGAAAATAACCGTATTCCTCTACTCGGAAGAAAGAGGAAACAGGTGTCAGATTTACTTCCATTCACTTAATTACTCATTCATTCATTTATTCATTCCACAAGTCACTTTTCAGTTTCTTAAAAAGTATGAACTGACCAATACAACTATGCGTAGACCTAAGTGACTAAGTATGGAATTATGGCTAGTCTAAATTAAGATAAATTCTAAGTATAAAATCAACATTGAATTTAAAAGATATACTACCTAAAATAAATGTAGAATAATCTGTTAGATTAATGGCATGTTAAATGATAATATTTTGTATATATTGAGCTAAATAAAATATTCAAGTCAATTCCACTTTTTTTCTTCCTTTTAAAATACTGTTATTTTATTTTCATGTTAGCCAAAGGGCAGAGAGACAGAAAGGGATTGCCATCTGCTGGTGCACCCACAGGATGCCCACAGTGGTCAGGGCTGGACCAGGCTGAAGCTGGGAGCTGGGAACTCAGTTTGGGTCTTCCACATGTGTGGTAGTAACCCAAGTCCTTCAGCCATCAGCTGCTGCTCCCAGGATACCACCCTGGCAGGGGTGTGGGACTCACACTGAGGCACCCCAGGAATGGGATGTGGGTATCCCCCAAGTCTTCATTGCTCTGTCAAATGCTCACCCTTTTCCTCACCTTTTCATGTGGCTCCTAGACAATGTTAAATTCGTTTTACAGCTTCCAGAGTGACACTTCTTATGTTTCCTATAGACCACAGCAGACTAGAGCGTGAGCCCCATGTTCCTGTTGCTCCGAGCCCAGTACAGCAGACAGAAGCAGAAACAGCTCAGCTTTAGACAGGCTGTCAGCAGAATGATGAGGGGCAGAGAAAAAAGGGAGCAACTGCCTCTGACAGTAGAATTGCAGTATGTGCTGAGAAAAAGGGAAAGATCCCAGTGGACAGAAATAGACATCAGCCTAACCCCAGATACAGGGAAAAATGATTATATTAGCGTGGAAACGATGATATTACCCACTTTCACCCTGTAGCCCTCAACCCTTTGTACCCTAAATCAACTAAGATTATTAAAATAAAAAAATTCAAAAAACAAAACAACAACAACAAAAAAGAAATAGACATCAGGAGAAATACTGAATCATGAAAGGGTTGGTAGAGGAAACTGTCATAATGGTCAGAAGCCAGGAGGCGGTGGTTCAAGACTTGATTCTGTGATTTGAAGAAACCAGAACTTGTGAATGAGGCCAACCCAATAGTGTGCTCGTTAGGACACCCACTCCATCCCTGGCCACGTCCTTGTTTGTGCTCTTCCATTTAACTTTATTTTCCCAAGGCTTATTTAAAGTCCCCCTCCTTAAGCAGACACAGCCCAGCCTTTCAGAATTCACTTGGGCTTGTCTTGTTACGCTCCCAGCCCAGTGCAGGCTCTGCACACTCCTACCTTCCAGTGTGTCGGTATGTCGCCAGAACTTTTATCACAGCTCCCATTCCCAAGATTGGATCCTGAGCTGGTGTGAACATTTACCATTGCACCAGTAGAGCCAGACAGTAGGGAAACAGAAATATTGACGGGTAACTGTCATTAGCAGGGCTTGAAAGATAAATGTAGCAGCCAGGAAAGAAATGAAGTCATCTGTACTCAGGGTCCAGTGTCACCTCCGCTCACTTAAATGACAGGTGCTGGGAAATCTGAGCAGTGAGGGGACTAAGAGGAACGGGTAGGTCACTAACACCTGTGAGAATCAGGGCAGCCTGGGCCAAAGCCGCGCCTGATGCTGTGTCTCTTGTCTGCAGGTGTTCGCACTCCTCACAGCGGTGATCTGTATTGCTGACAGTGCCCTTATTTACCGGAAGCTTCTGTTCAATCCAAGTGGTCCTTACCAGAAAAAGCCTGTCCGTGGCAAAGAAGATACGTAATTTATTCCTCCTTTGTAGTGAATCTCAAGAATTAAACCTATTTCTTCCTGTTTTCATACTATTTTCCATGGTCTTGTCATTTTAATCTCCAAATGGAAGCGGAAGAAGCAGTCTTCCAAAGACCTAGTACCTGTTCTTTTAAAGGGAGTATTGGGACCACTGGGCTGGGGTCGGGTATCCGAGCTCCTGGGCCTGAATGCATGGGCAGACAGCACTGGATGGGGCCGTGGAGGCTCTTCCTTCCTGGCTGGCCTGCAGCACGGAGGTGTCGGGGCACACAGATGGTAAGTTTCCTGGGAGCCGGAAGAGCAGATTGCAAGGCTGTGCTTGTCCGCGGGTCAGCCAGAGTTGGGAGCGCGTGAGGGAGAGGCAGCCACAGCCGTTGGTGTGTGGCAGCGCTGGCTCCTGGGAGCTGGGAAATCCAAGCTGGCTGCCACTACTCAGAGCTAGCCAGATCCAGTGACCCATCATGGATCCTGAAAATACCAGTGATGAGCTGTATAGTTCCTCTCTTGACGACTTCCAATACCCAGAAAAACCGGAACCTGTAGCACCCTCAACACGGGACGCCACTCTGGCACATCCCACCTCAGAGACGAATGCTGCTCACCCAACACACAAAGCTGCCTCTCATCCTCCAAGGCGTGCGTTTTCTGTGTACAGCAAAGCCTCTCCTCAGCCTTCTCTTGTCGTGCGCCCGGTACCTCCAGCCCCTTCCAAACCTGCTCAACGTAGTCCAGCTCCTCCCACAGGCTCCATGCGCCGTCCTGTGCGTCCAGCTCCTTCCGCAGGCTCCATGCGTCGTCCTGTGCGTCCAGCTCCTTCCGCAGGCTCCATGCGTCGTCCTGTGCGTCCAGCTCCTCCCGCAGGCTCCATGCGTCGTCCTGTGCGTCCAGCTCCCGCCATACCCCAAGTGCCTCCACGACAAGGGACTGACAATAAGGCAAATCCCGAGGCGTCCATGGAAAGCCAGTATGTGTGGCTCGCTGCATACCAGGGATCCAAGAAGGAGATCCAAAAGCGTGCTAAGGGCCGGACCAAAGTGCCACAAAAATTAACGGACAGCTTCAAGAAATTTTTCTTCTCACCCACTGGAATTCTGAAGCTCGTGAGAATGGTAAGAAGAAAGTGGGCGACCTGGCTGGGTGGACACTGGTGGGTTGGTAGCCTTGGGGACAGAGACTCAGAGGTGTCACCTGAGGCAAGAGATCCTTGTCTCTTTGCCTCTCCCCTTTGCTTTGCATCACCCACTCACCCCTACTAACCATCACCACTAAATTTGGCCTTTTTATTTTTTTGTCCCTTTCTTCCTTTCATAGTTCTCAAAGTTCCCCTCACCAAGAAAACAAGGTAGCAATGAGGACAGCATAAATGTGTGAATTAGCAAACAAACAAATGATCATGGGATGTCCTTTGAAATTCCTGTTAAATTGCTAGGCCACTGAGAGTAAATACAAAACACCTGTAGAATTTTTTAATCACAATAACTGAAAAAGGCACATTCTACTCTTGAGTGGGAGGGCTGAATTTTATCGTCTTCACAAATTGTAAAAGGTCAAATGCCAACAGGTCAGTTTGGAAGAAACTGATGAGGTCAACAGTCTGCGAAGGGGAGAGAAGGAAGACCAGACCAAACTCCACTCCAACAAAGTCAGTCTGCTCATCCTTTTCAAAGTACTGGAGGCAAAATCGGCAACCCACTGGGAAAGAATAGCCTCAAAAAAATGTTGAGCTACCCTTCGGGTTTAGAGAAAAAGAAAACTGAGGCTCAACCTCCTTGTTCCTATCAAAATTAGTAAATTAGTGCAGATATACATATATATATATATACGTGTGTGTATATAGATCCAGTGTAAAATATAAGCTTTAAGAGAGCATAGGGTTGGATTGGGAGAAAAGAAAGAAATTAATACATTTTTACCCTTACATACTATATACATTTTTATCGTTTGCATGCATTACTTCTTAAATATAGGACAAGTTTTTCGAAATAAAACCCCAGCAGTGGCACTGTATCCAGACGTACGTGCTGATGGCTGTATTTTCAGTGACATCGCCATTTGCATCCAGTGCATCCTGTCTCCTTTATTGCAGGGTGTCATCACGGCGGCAACCATCTGCTTCTTCAAGGCCAACGCCCCCGAGTCTTACATAGGGATCGCCATTCTGGAAGCCTTCATCGTCATCTTCTTTATTCTAATATATCTGCTGTCCCTCCAATACCTGCTGACTTACATACACTGGCCCTTACTTGTAAGTCATTATTTTCAGAATTCCAATATTCCAATATTCACTTTTGCCCTTAGGGAGTTGTGGCTGAGCTAGGACAGTGTCACCCTGGACTCAGGACAAAAACTAGCCCAGGACCCAGACAGGTTCCCTGGACCCTTCTGTCTATAGGCACACAGCCAAGGACACACACAACTGCTTCCTGTCCAGACTAGGAAACCCATGGCATCACTGCCAGGAACACACAGTATTTTACAGCTCCTCCTAACCAACATTGTAATTAGTATATTGGGCAGGTTAGCATATTCCCAACCCACTGCTTGTACAAGAGGGCAAGCTTCCACTTTATTATTTTTTTATTTTTTTATTGGAAAGTCAGATTTTACAGAGCGAAGATATAGAGAGATCTTCCTTCTGATGTTTCACTCTCCACGTGGCCACAATGGTCAGAGTTGAGCCTGTCCAAAGCCAGGAATCAAGAAGTTCCTCCAGGCCTCGCACACAGGTGCAGGGTTCCAAGTCTTTGGGCTATTCTATTTTCCCAAACCACAACCAGGGTGCTAGATGGGAATTGGAACAGCCAGGACATGCACTGATGTGCATATGGGAATCCCAGGAATACAAGGTGAGGACTTCAGCCACTAGGCTGCCGTGCTGGCCTCAAGCTTCCACTTTTCAAACAGCTTGCTCATTCTATCTTTCTCACACACACACACACACACACACACACACACACACACACGACCTCCATTCCCACCCCAAGTGGAGGAGCTGACATGGCAGAGCTGTAGAGCTCCGTGTGTATAAAAGACTGCAGGAGCCAACTCTTCTGTGAGTATTCAGAGTTCATGCTCCCAAGAGACTGGCATATAATGTAGTATCTAGAAAATGACATTGCATTTTCTCCCTCCAGTTGCTGTTTCCAAACTTTCACCTTCTCTCCCAAATAAGAAACTCCCTGAGGCTTATGATCTAGGTCTGACCAGATAGCAGTTTAGTTTTACCAGAGGAAGACATGAGCCTCGTTGCTAGCCATGCCACCTTACTGGCCGGCTAAGTGTGATGCTAACTACCTTGTAGATTTCTCATAACATTTAAAGGCGCATGATTTTTCTCATGTGCACATTTAAGGATTTTTTCCTTATGTTCAACTGAGGAGAACTTGATCATCATGTGTTTTGGTAAAGATTGCTTTTGTCAACTCTGTTGGGAGTCCTATGCCCCTCCTGGATCTTGTTTCCCAATTCTTTCTCTAGATTAGGGAAGTTTTCGTATATTATTTCATTGAATACACCTTTAATCCCAGTTGCTCTTTCTGCGCCTTCTGGAACTCCCATAATTTTTATGTTGGTCCTTTTAATTGTATCTTTTAATTCCTGGATACTTTTTTTAGCTTGGCCTAGCTCTGCTTCCAGCTTTTTGTTTGTTTCCCCCTGGTGACTGGAAATATCTTCCAATTCTGATATTCTTTCTTCTGCTTCATTCATTTTATGTTTTAGACTTTCCACTATACTTTTAATTTGCTCCACTGTATTCTTATTTCTGAAATGTCAGCTTTCATTTGACTCATTTCCTATGTAACAAATTCATCAAATTCTTTGAACTCTTGTATTATGTATGCGCTTCTCATTGTTGGTCAGAAGCTTTATGATAATTTTTTCTGAATTCTATGTCCCCAATTTTTTCAGTGTCTTCCTCAATTAACTCTGAGGGTGCTAGAGGCTTTTGTTCCTTTATTGGGGAGTCTTCAGTAACATTCATTGTGCCTTTGTCTCTTAACTTTTAACACTGCAATCCTGTTTGGTGTATTTTTCTCCTTAGTGCAGATTTCTAAGATGTATTACCTACAGGTTTACAAGTCAATTTTTATGTTCAATCAGTGTCCTGATTGGGGTTAGGAAGACCCCAATTGTCCCAGATAATTGGTTTATCGGCAGTATTTGGGCAGCTAAGGGCTCTGCAGCACCATCTGCTGTGGGCAAGGGGACCAGGTCCCTGCGAGAGAAGGCCTCAAGCAGTTGGGTCCACTGTCACAATGCTGGGAGGGTCTATGAGGGCCAGACTCCACTGCAGAGTACCAGGGCAATGTCCAAGAACCATCCCCAGAATAGCAAGAGCAAGGGCCTTGGAAGGATGAATTGGGAGCCTGCAGGCCACTCCTAGAGCCCGAGGTCTTTGAGCAACCTCACTAAACCAGCTCCCCCACCAACATTGTCACAATGATCTTAAGGGAGAGCACCCTATTTGGGGAGGGATTCTAAAGGGTGATTCAGACCTCCTGAATTTCCCTTTCTATTGTCCTCCAGGGTCTATACCCTGTGGGGGACCTGGAAGAAGCTCCTCATTCCCAACTTTAGCCAGTCCCAGTTCTGGCCATTGTGACCATTCGGAAAGTGAACCAGCAGATGGAAGGTGCCCCCGCTCCCCCCGTCTCTTGCTCCCTCTTTCAAATAAATAAAAATGTTTTTAAGATGTTTACACCCTGCTTCTTAGCTTCTTGGTTTACACAATCCTCAGACCTTACGCTTTCTGCAGAGCTGTCTAGGTCAGCCTGCCCGTGGTCGGGAGACCTCGGACTCAACCTGCAGAACCCAGCAGAGTCTGACCTCCAACTCTAACCAGCCCTGCCCTATGTATCCACCAGGAACACACAAAACCATAGACACTGGTGCTTTGTCAAGAGGCAAGTCAGATGCCATGAGAAGGCCCCTTGCCACCTTCACACAAAGAGTCAGTGGAGTCTGCAGAAAGCACATCTAACTGTGTGAACATGAATTCACATTTGTATGCCCTTCCACCACCATCCCACAGCCTGGTCTCCGATGCTATCAGACTCATTATGCCGGGCAGCTCTCGGATCCTCCCGGTGCAGCCCAGCCATCATCCACAGAGCAGAAATCAGCAAGTTGTCAGAGGTGACAGAACATACCCCAGGTCCCACCTCTAGCAAGGGTACCAGGCCAAAGCACCAAGCAATGAGAGCACTCTCAACTTAGTGTTCAGTTCCAACTTAACCCTCCAGACCCAGGCCAGAGAAAATTCCAAAGATGGACTGGGTGTGGTGCTCCCAGCCACTGGGGACAGTTCATTTCCTCCTAGTCTGGGTGTCCTTGATGAGAGGCAATGTGAGAGGAGTTCTGGCTCCATTCTTTAACAGTGATTCAATCTTAAGCAACAACAACAACAACAACAACAACAACAACAAAAAGCAAACAAAACCCTAAGTCTTCATTGTGTCTTGTATAAAGTGGGAAATTTTGTAATATTGATGTGGAAAGCTATGCTGTGGTGGTCACATGAGATGATAACCAGCACACATCTGGCCCAAGGAAGTTCCATTACAACGCTCTACCTGCCGCCACCAAGGCAGGCCATCGCAGTGACATGCTTAAAATGTTCAGATCAGGTTTCTGAGCCATACTCTAGTTACATCACCCTAGGCCGTGACCCTCCCCATAAGCCCAGCCTCTGCTCCCTCAGCATACCCCACCACCACCCTGCAACTCAACCTTCACACCAGCACATGCTGGCTAGGCTGAGCTAGCCAACAAAGCACCTTGTCCTGCATTCCAATAGAGTAAAGGACACAAAGACGCTGCTCATGTGTGGGCAGACTCAGTTCTGGCCGTGTGCAAGTCCATCCGCTCCAAGACAGCAGGCCTGCTGCTCAGATGGGACCCAACCTTCTTGGGATTTGTGAACACACAGAATAAACTCTACCCAACCTCCAGAGCATTAGTTTTACCTGTAGATTTAACAGGGGAATCAAATCACTTAAGTGTTCACCTGAAAGTTTACTTTTACATTAAAAAAAAAAAATGTGGGAGCCAGTGTTGTGGCATAGCAAATTAACCCTCTGCCCATGATGCTAGCATTCCATATGGGTAGGCACTGGTTCAAGTCCTGGCTGTTCCTCTTCCAATCCAGCTCTCTGCTAACACACTTTAGAAAGCAGCAGAGAGTAGTAGTCCAAGCTTTAGGGCCCCTACATCAATAAATAAATTATTTATTTATTTTTATTGGCATGTCAGTTTTACAGAAAAAGGAGATACAGAGAGAAAGATCTTCCATCCACTGATTCACTCCCCAAGTGACTACAATGACCAGAGCTAAGACAATCAGAAGCTGGGAGCCAGGAGCTTCTTTTGGATCTCCCACACAGATGCAGGGTCCCAAGGCTTTGAACCATTCTTGACTGCTTTCCCAGGCCACAGGCAGGGAGCTGGATGGGACATGAGCAGCTGGGACACCAAGAGTAGCCCACATATGGGATCCTGCCACTTGCAAGGCAAAGATTTAGTCACTGACCCATCATGCTGGAACCTTCAAAGGGAAAGTTCTTAAAAAGCATCTATCCTTAGATGGAAAAAAAACTGTTATATTTTCAGATGAAACTGACTGCTTTCAATTCTACCCTACAGGATCTTATCAATAGTATCATTTCTGCTCTGTTCCTTTTAATGGTTGGCCTGCTGGTGATGGAAGAGAAGAAGAGAAGACACCTGCTCTTTATTGGAGGGGTAAATTAGAGGCCTCCATGACTCCATGAAAATCAGGATTCCAAGCTTCTTGAGAGAGAAGCAGGCCGACCCTCACAATGTCACCAACAGAACAAACTCCCCCCCACCCCAACCACCACCATCTCTCCTTCTTGTTCTTGCCCTGATGCAAAGTTCCATGGGAACAATTCCAAAACAGGCCCAAAAACAAGAGGAACCCCTTTGGAGAACTGCACATACTGGTTCTGAAATGCCGTAAGATCTTTTTGTCCCTAAATAGGACCTTGACTTTTCTAGAGATTCATATTTTTAATTACTTTATTTATGTATGTATTTAAATGGAAGAAGAAGAGAGATTTTCCATCCACTGGTTCACTCCCCAAATGGCCACCCTGGCTAAAGCTGGGCCAGGCCAAAACCAGGAGCCAGCAGCTTCTTCCTAGTCTTCCACGTGGGTACAGGGGCCCAAGCACTAGTACCCACTTCTGCTGCTTTCCCAGGTGCATTAGCAAGGAGCAGGATTGAAGTAGAGCAGCTGGGATTCAAACTCGTGCTCACAAGGATGCTGGCATCACAGGCAGTGGCTTTACCAATTATATGGGTTCTGAGATTTGTATTTTAAAGACAGATGACAAGAGAGGTCCATTAGATTGAGCTCAGTGGTAGAGAGAGAGCCCCATCATCCCTCTTCCCCCTTCCCTGGGCAGGAGGGAGCGGCACACACAGACAATGGGACAAGACCTCTAAGAGGCCAGGGGTTCAGTGACCCTAAAGGGGGGCATCTAAGACCCGAAAAAAAACTGCAGACCATTGTGGTCATGAGCCCCTGGTCCCTCTCTGATCCTTCCGCAATCAAACTTCTCACTGCCAGGGGTTCCTACAGCCAGCTGCCTCCACCAGTTCTTACCTGGTGGGCAACAGCACCCCCAGCGAGCTTCCCGGCCACCCGGAATTCCTCCCCTGCTCCTCATCCCTTCTATCCCCCGCCCCCCCCCCCACACACACACTGTCTCCCCTACCACCACTCTGGGACACTTTCCTGTCAGCTCACGACCTCTGCTCTTGACAGACTCCAAGAGCTTGAACCTGTTCTGCTTTACTTCTGCCCCTGCTCCAGCAACACCTTAGAAGGTCTCAGCCATGGGAGATTGCCCAGAGACCTGGGGCCTGGGCTGGGCTGGGCTTCTCTCTCTAATCTGATCTTATCAAACATAATGTAACAATCCTTTCTGCTGAGACTTTCTCTGCACCCCTTACCCCGACCTGTACCTCTGAGGACCACCACCATTCCTTGCCAGAGTTCCGGGTGTCTCACGGGGCCACTATGGGCGGCAAACCCACATCCCCACCCCTTTCTCCAGGAAAAGCTGAACAGTCTGCATGCTGATGTGGGTAGAAATCAGGAGGGGGGGGGTGATTAGAGGGAATCAAGGACATCACTCCCAACTGCCTCTTAACGTACGTCCCTTTGGAGAAGGGGAGAGGGCCAGGGGGCTTGGTGCTGAAATGCGGAATAACCATCCCCTTTCCTTCCTGCCTCTGGTCCTGTGTCCTACAGACACTGTGTGTCACAGCGGCAGTCCTGTGCGTAATTGATGCGCTGATGGTCACCAAGAGGACGAGGGACGACATAAAGAGACTCCTAGGGGCCAACGAGGCAACCCGGCACACGCTGTACAAAGCGCCCCACCCAAACACGCGTGCAAGACAGAGCGACGGTCAGCACCTGCTCCTTAGTGGGCCCAAGCGCACGCGCGCGCAGTCGTCGTCTGTCACCATTCGGTCTCACCTGTGACCATAAACGCCCGACTGCTCAGTCGGGGCCACTGCGCTATCCTCGTGTTGCCTTGTGTTGAATCGCATTCCATCGTCCTGCGTCCGTGGAGCTCCTGCCCTCCGCACCCCCAAAGCGAGAATCTCCGCCCCGCGACCACTGCGCTTCGGAGGCCTCGCTGGGACTAGGACTGGGAGGGAGCTCCGGGGCTGGGAGCAGTGTGGTGGCGCGGAGGCTGAGCTCCTCTTGCCCGGCGGAAACACCCGCTTCGCTGGACCCGGCAAGGCGGCCACGTGCGCTCGCGCAGGGGGTGCTGGTGTTGGCATTCGCGGGGCCCCTGGCGGTTAGCAGAAATCAGCCTCTGAACAGGTCGGTAGTCAACAGGCTCTTTCGTGAGCTAGGCCTGTCGGAGGACAGCAACAGAGGCTGCACATAGGCTGTGAGATACTAGGGGTCCCGCACCAGGATGGCTGACAAAACCAAGCCTCCAGAGGGCGGTGCCCCGCAGCCCGCAGCACCACCCCCCAAACCTGGGGAAGAAGCCAACAAAGAAAAGGAGCCCCCTAAGCCATCAGTGCAGCCCAAGGATGAAGTGGGCACAAGAAAAGGGTGTCGCCGCTATCGGTGGGAACTCAAGGACAGCAATAAGGAGTTCTGGGTCTTTGGGCATGCCATCGTCAAGCTCATAAGTTTGGTGAGTAGGGCTGGTATCCCTGGGTGTGGTGTGTGTGTGTGTGTGTGTGTGTTGGGGGGGGTCCTAATCCCAGGGTTGGGGAAGAGGAAAAGCAGGCTCCAGGGGTCTCCGGAGGGCTTGGGGGGCTGCAGGAATCCCTGGCCGGCTCAGGTGTGTGTATCTCTGCAGGGCTGCCTGATAGCGGCACTGATGCTCTTGCACGGGCTCCCCGTCCATCCCATCATAATACTCATCATCAGCATGGAATTGTCCATCTTCATCTTCTTCATTGTGCTCAACAGCTTCGCCCTACAAAGATACATGCCCTTCATCCTGTGGCCCATCACGGTAAGTCCAGAACCAGGCTTGCCATTCAGGTGTGTGTGTTGGCACCTGGAAAGTGACCAACAGCAGGCCAACCTCATCTCCCATGTTTGTGCCCAAGGCAGGGAGGGGTTCAGCAGTTTTGGATGGGGCTCTGGCAGGAGCAGTAAAGTGAGAAATGTTGGAATGGGAGAAGCAGAAAAGGTTTCCCAAACATCTGGCTGTGAGTTGGGGTGAGGGTGAGTTCTGCTCAGCGTGTGATCAAATGATACACACTGAAAAGGAACAGCTGGGAAAAAAAAAAAAGTTGTGTCAGACAAAAGTGAGTAGGCATAGCTATTCTTACAGCAGAAAAAAAGTTTAGATCAAAACTAAAAAGAGATTAAAACATATTTTGACAAAAGGTTCGAATCAGCAAGAAGACATAACAATCATGAACGTACTACTGGATAATCAATGGATTGTAGAACAAACTAAGAAAGACATCAAAAACTTTCTTGAATTAAATGAACACAACAACACAACATTTCAAAATCTGTGGGAATCAACAAAAGCAGTATTAAAAGGGAAGTTCATAGCAGTAAGTGCTTACATCAGAACAAGAAAAACGTCTCAAAGCTCCAATGATACATTTGAAGACTTAGAAAAAGAACAAACCAAGCTTCCAATCAGCAGGAGGAGAGAAATAATAAGGAAGAGAATGGAAATAAATGGAAGAAACTAGTAATAATAACAGTAAGAGCCAAGGCAACGAGGTTGCTGGAAGAAAGCATAAGGGAAACACAGATATGGATGTAGGGAACAGCTTCTTGGACAAGACACCCAAAACACAAGCAACAAACGCAAAGCTAAACAAATGGGAATACATCAAACTTAGAAGCTTTTTACACTGCAAAGAAACAGTCGATAAGAGTGAAGAGACATCCAACACGTTGGGAAAAAAGATTTACAAACAACCTGACAATAGTTTAACATCCCAAATACATCAGCAGTTTAAAAAGAAAAAAAAAAAACACTTCGCAAGGATTTATTCACTAGACTATCCAAACTGGGCCTGGGATCCCATATGGGTGCCAGTTCGTGTGCCAGCTGCTCCACTTCCCATCCAGCTCCCTGCTTGTGGCATGGGCAGCCCAAAGCCTTGGGACTGCACCCACATGGGAGACCTGGAAAAAGCTCCTGGCTCCTGGCTTTGGATCAGCTCAGCTCTAGCTGTTGTGGCCACCTGGGGAGTGAACCATCAGAGAGAAGGTCTTTCTCTTTGTACCTCTTTCTATATATAAATCTTTCCAATAAAAACAAATCTTAAATCTCACACACACACACACACACACACACACACGTATCACCTTACCCCCTGTGAGAATGGCTGAAGTCCAGAATAGAGTAGAAATGCTGCCGGGGTGTATATGGAGAATGAGGAACCCTTGCACATTGTCGGCGGGAATGTAATTAATGCAGCCACAGTAGAAAACTGTGGAAATTTCTCTTTTTTTAAAAATAGTATTTATTTTTATTGGAAAGGAGAGACAGACAGACATTTCATCTGCTGGTTCACTCTTTAAATGACTGCAACAGCCAGAGCTCAACTGATCTGAAGCCACTAACAAGGAGCTTCCTCCTAGTTTTCCATTTGGGTGCAGGATCCCAAGGCTTTGGACCATCTTCTATTGCTTTTCCAGTAGAGAGCTGGAAGGGAAGTGGAGCAGCCAGAATACAAACTGGCACTCATATGGGATTCCAGCACTTGCAAGGTGAGGATTTAGCTATTGAGCCATCGTGCTGATCCTAGAAATTTCTCTAAAAACTAGAAGTGGACTTGCTATATGATCCAGCAATTCTACTACAGAAAGAGTGGTACATTTTATACCAGGGATACCTACATCATCACATTTACAGCAGCCCTGATTACAGTGGCCAAAACTTGGAATCAACCAATGTGTCCATCAGCAGATGAATAGATAAATAAAATGTGATACACACACACACACAGGACTGTTATTCAGCTTTAAGAAAGAATTGAGTTCTACCACTTTCAGCAAAATGGACACAACTGGAGAACACTAGGTTGAGTGGAATCAGCTGGACCCAAAAAGACAAACACTACCTACCCTTCCTTATATGTGAGAAATGAAATTTTAAAAATAATAAGTAAAAAAGAAAGTGTGTATACAATATTGCTGCAAATAGTTTTGCAAAGCATTGTTTCATAGCTTTATCAAACCAATGATGAGGAATATCATACTACTATAGTTTTAGTGATCTGTGATGACTTTAAGATTTACAAATGAAATTTTCATTTGATTATTTATAGTCATTATGTTTCTACTAACTAGGACCTTTTTGCTTTTTACTTGTTAAACTTCTTATTCAGTGAAGTATTAGCCTTTTTTTTTTTTACTGTAATATAAATTTAAAATGTTTACTCAAAAGCTTAAAAAAAAGGGAGAAAGTAGGAGGCTGAAAGAGGGGAGAGGGAGGAGGAGGAAAGGAATACCATTGTGCCCTTAGGATTAATCTACAAGCTACACTGAGTCTGTTAATAAGCAATTCAAATAATAAAAATAAATGTTTAAAAATTCCATTGACGGGCCCGGCGCGGTGGCGCAAGTGGTTAAGTCCTCGCCTTGCACGCCCGGGATCCCATATGGGTGCCGGTTCTATCCCGGCAGCCCACTTCCCTTCCAGCTCCCTGCCTGTGGCCCAGGAAAGCAGTCGAGGACAGCCCAAAGCCTTGGGAACCTGCACCCGCATGGGAGACCTGGAAGAGGCTCCTGGCTTCAGATCGGCATAGCATCGGCCGTTGTGCTCACTTGGGGAGTGAATCATTGGACGGAAGATCTTCCTCTCTGTCTCTCCTCTCTGTATATCCGCCTTTCCAATAAAAAACATAATAATAAAAAAATAAAATCTAAAAAAATTCCATTGAGTAAAATTTTAGCCAATAAAACAAGCGGGGTGATTAGAAGCCTTAAAGTATGGGCTGATAAAAGAGTTACCTAAAAATAATGCAAAGTTTAGATGATTACAGGCATAAATGAGGAACAAATACAGGACCATGAGTGCAGAATGGAAAACCTTACATATTCATTAATTTGAGATTCTGGGAGAGCATTCTCATCTGCTGATTGATGTCTGAAACGCCCACAATGATGAGAACGGAGCTAGTCCAAAGGCCAGGAGCCAGGAATTTAATCCAAATCACCCACACGGGTAGCAGAGACCCAAAGATTAGAACCATCACTGCTGTTGGTGTGGGTCATGGGGTTGTCATTTTCATTCCAGTTATTTGGGCCACCACCTAGAGAAACATGGTGAGCGCAGCAAACACCTATAAGGTGCAGAAAGTGATAACACATTTTATTCAAAAGGCAAGAAAGCAAACACACACACACACACACATAGCATGACTTGTCCACACAGGGAACTATCTATTGTGAGTGGACAAAGGATCATCATCAAATTTGCCCAGCAGGAGAAAAAATTCAGGGACAGAGGTGGAGAGAGGATATTTAAGAGTCCTTCCAGCTGTGGTCTACAGTGGCAGAGAAAGAGAGCACCAGTTGTTGGCCTCTTCTATGAGGTGGGGGCTGCACCCCTACAGGTAGGACATCACCAGTAGTTGTATGTCACCTTGACGAGTTCCATGCCGAACTCACTGTCCATGCTTTCATGGCATCTTCCTGCCAGCTCCAGGATAAAGCAGGAGCATCCCAGGAAAGAGAGCAATTTGATTGACTAGTACAAGGCTAGACTTACACTTGGTGCAGGGATGTGGCTTGCAGGGACCTCCAGCTCAGTGATCCCACCAAACCGCCTGCTTATTGATCCCACATCACTGCCTCTCTCAGTCTACACTAGCAGGAATTAGGGGCCAAAGCTGGGGATCAAATCCCAGCAGCCTGTAAAAACCTTTTCAAAGAGACATTCAGTACGAACAAGGGGTTAGCCTAGTAGTTAAGCTACCCACAACTCCTATCAGCAGACCTGGCTCAACACTTAACTCCGAGCTCCAGCTTTAATCTAGTGCCTGAAGACCCTGAGTGCAGTGATTATGGCTCAGGTCATTGGGTTCCTGCTACCCACGTGGGAGACATGGATTAAGCTCCCAACTCCTGGCTTTGGCCTCGGCTCCAGTCCCAGTCCCAGGCCCAGCACGGTATCTCAACATGGTGACCACCATCAGAACATTTTGGACTTGAACCAGCAGGTGTGATCTCTCTCTCTCTCCCTGTCTGTCTATGTATCTATCTGTGCATCCATCCATCCATCCACCCACCTATTCTTTTCTCCTTCTCAAGTAAATAAATTGTGTAAGTTGTTAAGAGACTGGAAGAGAGAAAATACTCAGGGATAATGAGTGAAAACCTTGTAGATTTAGAAAAGTTCACCCAGGGCCCCGGCGCGGTGGCGCAAGTGGTTAAGGTCCTCGCCTTGCACGCCCGGGATCCCATATGGGTGCCGGTTCTATCCCGGCAGCCCACTTCCCTTCCAGCTCCCTGCCTGTGGCCCAGGAAAGCAGCAGAGGATGTCCCAAAGCTTTGGGACCCTGCACCCGCGTGGGAGACCCGGAAGAGGCTCCTGGCTTCGGACCGGCATGGTATCAGCCGTTGCGCTCACTTGGGGAGTGAATCATTGGACGGAAGATCTTCCTCTCTGTCTCTCCTCTCTCTATATCCGCCTTTCCAATGAAAAAATAATAAAAATAAATCTTTAAAAAAAGAAAAGTTCACCGAAATATGGCAGAGAAGGAAATTCCACAACTTTGCCCCTCCTTGACAACAGCGATTAAGCTGGTGAAAATAGAAGTAGCTTTGTCAGAACTATGGAATCGAGCCAAAACTTACAATAACCCATGCAAGGCTTAATGAGAGAAAGAGCACTGTACATCTTATCCTATCCCCTGGCCACTGCTCACTCCACCTTGGCACAGGCCATGAAGAAGGCAGCCCACATTTCTGGAAAACCTTGGTGGTGGCAGAAGGAAAAATGTAGACTTTTGAAGAAATTCAGATCTGTATTTGCTTTGATCTGTATGGTAACCAATGAAGATACTGGACCTGGAACTTGCTGTTTGGTTTCAGCTAGCTGGTTCAGAACTGTCTTAGGGATACAGCAACTTTGTGGGTAGCATTTGTCCAAGCCATTCAAAAGAAAATATCCTAATCTGAGCCACCTAGGGTGAGAGAAGCAGATGACAAGGGCAGTAGACCAACCAGAGAGTCTGGAAAGGAAAAAGCAGGGGCAGGAAATACCAATGGGAGCATGGAAGCTTTGAGAAGCTCCCACACATAACACAAGATCTCCAAAAGGTAGGCACATTCCCAGGCTGGGGCAGGTGGTCAGAACTGACCATTAGGCTCTGTGCCAGCAGGAAATGAAGACTATCATCTTACTATCGAAATAGAGACTTTCATGGTCACACAAGAAAAAGCCTGCTATTTGGGCACTCGTCCCAGTTGCTCCATTTCCTATCCAATTCCCTGTTAATGTGCCTGGGAGAGCAGCGAAGGATGGACCAAGTCCTTGGGCCCCTACATCCATGTGGGAGACATGGAAAAAGTTGCTGGCTGCCAGCTTTGGATCATTGTGGTCTTCATAGGACTGAACTAGCAGATGGACAGATCAATGTCCTTCCCAATCTGTGTCCTCCTCTCTAACTCTCTAAATAAAAAAAATCTTTAAGAAAAAAAAAAACTTTGGGGCTGGCAGATGACACAGCAGTTTAAGTACTGCCTGTGATGCCAGCATCCCCTATAAGCATAGGTTCCAGTCTCATAGGTTCCTGCTCTGCTTTCTGATCTAGCTCCCTGCTAATGCACCTGGAAAAGCAACAGAAGCACCTGAGCTCCCACCACCAAATGGGAAACCCCAAAGGAATAATACCAAGCTCCTGGTTATGATCCAGGAGAGTGAGCCAGCAGATAGAAAATTTTTGTTTCATCATCTCTAAACTTTCAAATATTTTTAAACGATGCAGAAACAAAAAGAAAGCAGATTATAACAATTTGCCAACTTGTTACCTGCCACTTCTGTGGCTTTATTTTGTTACATTGAAATTATTTGATTCATTTGAGTGATTTGGGGGTGTGGTAGGAACCACGGCTTCCACCCTGTATCCTAATAGCTATCCAATGATAACGTCTTATCACCTCACTTATTCTCATATTAAATACTACATCTTTTCCCCATTGAAGGTGCATTGTTATTATGTGCTAATATATGTAAATACTCCATTTGTGGTGATTCCATTAGTCTTTTTTCTTTTTCTTCTTACTTTTTTTTTCATTTGAAAGACATATTTACAGAGAGGATGTCCCAGCCACTGGTTCACTCCCCACATGGCTGCAATAGCCAGAGCTGAGCTAATCTGAAGCCGGGAGCCTCTCTGGGGATTCCAATAGGAGGACAGGGCCCAGACTTGGCCATCCTCCATTACTTTCCCAGGCCATAACAGTGAGTTGGATCAGAAGTGTAGCAGCCAGGACACAAACTGGCACCCATATGAGATGTTGGTGTGTAGGGGAGAGGGTTAGTCTGTCGAACCACTGTGCCCTTCTAATCAGTTGCACTGTCAAATAGGGCTTTGATTGTAAAATTAGACATTATAAGAAAAGCAAATTCTAGACCTGTCTTATTTTAAGATGGATGTAAAAATCCTCAGTAAAAAGCAGCAAACTGAATCAAGCAGCACATCACAGTGAAGCAGGTGCACTGCCCGAATGCAAAGATTGTTCTAGCTTTGTAATTCTGTTACTATAATTCACCATATTTTAGTTGTTGGAAAGATTATCTTATACACAGCCAAAGGGGGCGGGGAGAAGGAATGGACAACTCAAAACCAATAGTTAGAAAAAAAACTTCACGAGCAAGAATCAAGAGGAATCTCCTTATGTGAATAATAGGTTTCTACTCAAAAATACAACATTACATTTTATGGTAAAACTTCAGAAACATTTCATTACAAATGCCTACTGTGGGGCTGGTGTTGGGGCACAGCAAATAAAGTCTCCACCTGCAATACCAGGTGAATTGGGTACCAATTCACGTCTCAGATGTTCCATCTCCAACACAGCTTCCTGCTAGTGGCATGGGAAAAACAGCAGAAGATGGCCTGAGTGTTTGGGCCCCTACACTCATGTGGAAAACATGCAAGTAGTTCACGGGTCCTGTCTTGAGCCTGACCCAGCCCCGGCTGTTATGGCCATCTGGAAAGTAAAAACAGTATATGGAAGGTTTCTCTATATGTATTTCTGCCTTTCAAATAAAATTAATCTTAAAAAAAAAAAAAGAAAAATGGCTGGGGCAGGAGGTGGGGAGGAGGGAGCTGCAGCTGAGTGGTCAAAACTTGAACTGGCAGGGCTTCCAAGTGTTGGCTTATCCCCCTGGGCCACATCTGGGGCCCTCACCTTTGCTCATTTTTGGGCTAAAGATCTTAATCACTATGATGTGACAAGATCAACAAAAGGTGCACAGATCGGGAAGGAGAGAAAGGAAGCACCACTCAAAGCTATGATGATTTTCTGAGCAAAGTCCAAGTGAATCTACAATCAAATGATTGGAACTGAATGAGTTCCACAAGCCTTACCAGAGTAAGTATTATATACAGAGAATAATACAAAGTACTATTCCTGAACACCAACCAGGAGAAGATACTGTTCTTACAAGAAAATCATAAAACAGCACTCGAGGCTAGAAGGTATCTAAAAACACACCTGCTAAAAGATATACAAGACTTCAGGTAGAGATCATAAATATCTTAGGAAATAAACACCATCCTCACAGGTATGGCAAATTAGTGTTATAGAATGAGCAGTTCAATTTCCAACTAATCTGTTATCAAATAAAGTTTAACCTGATAAGATTGTTCATGAAACCTCATAAGGGGATTCTCAAATTCTTTGGGAAGAATAAAAAGAATGAGGAGGTTGAATTTACCTGAGACACCAGATTGACCATAAAGCTTTGCTAGTAGACTAACAGAATTATTCCCTATCGCATGGCTGCATCCCCTCCAAATTCCTCTTCTGGATCCCTCACCCCCAGTGTGGCTGTATTTTGATATGGGGCCTCTAAGGAAATATTTACAATGAAACAAGGCAATAGTTTGGGTACCTGACAGGATAGGATTCATATTCTTGTCAGAAGAGACTCCAGGAGTTGGCATGGTGTTGCAGAGGGCAACGCTGCTTCCACTCCAGCTCCCTGCCAATTTGCAGGGAAAACCAAGAGACTAAATCTGTATTTCTCAATATGGGCAAGTCCCTTAAACTTGAATTTTAAAAAGCAAGTGTTTGGGCCCGGCGCGGTGGCGCAAGTGGCTAAGTCCTCGCCTAGCACGCCCGGGATCCCATATGGGCGCCGGTTCTAATCCCGGCAGCCCCGCTTCCCTTCCAGCTCCCTGCCTGTGGCCTGGGAAAGCAGTTGAGGACGGCCCAAAGCTTTGGGACCCTGCACCCGCGCGGGAGACCCGGAAGAGGCTCCTGGCTTCGGATCGGCATAGTATCGGCCCGTTGCGCTCACTTGGGGAGTGAATCATCGGACGGAAGATCTTCCTCTCTGTCTCTCCTCTCTGTATATCCGCCTTTCCAATGAAAAAATAATAAAAATAAATCTTTAAAAAAAAAAAAAAAAGCAAGTGTTCAACGGTCTGATAAAATTGTTGAAACAGTGGCCACTGTTATGGCATAGCTGATAAAGCACCGCCTCCAATACCTGCAACCCATATGGATGCTGGTTCAAGTCCCAGCAACTCTACTTGTGCTACTCCCTGCTAATATGCCTGAGAAAGCAGTGGAAAATGGCCCAAGTGCTTGGGTCCCTACAGCCACATGACTGGCCCAGAAGAAGTTCTGGAATCTTAGCTTCAGCCTAGTCTAGTCCTGGCTGCTGTGGCCATTTGGGGAGTGAAACAGTGAGCCAGTGAATAGAAGATCTATCCCTCTCTGTAACTCTACCCAAAGAAAGAGAGAGAGAAAGGAAAAGAAATAGTTGAAATCCACAATATAGCATGTTCTCTATTTATACATAAATATATGTGTCAGAGTATCTGTTTTAATATGTATATGTCTTTATATTATGTGTGTGGGTCAGGCAGATGGTTGAAAAATATCCCTTTGAGGGTGGCCATGCTGCTGGGTCACCAGTTAAGCCCTATCTGCCCCTTGCAGGACCTCCTCAATGATGTGTTCGCCTGCGGCTTCCTCATCGGAGGCATAGTGTTCGCCATGAGGGGCCGGCAGAACGTGCCGACGCACTATTTAATTGCTGTGGTGAGTCTCTCCTGGCTGGCCCATGCGTTTGTTCATTCTTTTGGAGAATTGCAGGGTTGGGTGTTTGCAAGGGGTGTATGTTTCCTGTTTTTAACAGGAGGGTGTCTTTTCATGAAAAACTTGGGGGTGGATGAAAATTGAAAAGTACAGTTGAGAAATCCAGATGATATCCCAGGAAAGCATTCTAAGATCATGGCTGCCTTGCAGCCAAGACTGGCCCCTCTCTAAGCTAGTCCTGAAGGGGGAAGACGGCACAAAGCTGAAGTGATGAGAGAGTGGGCTGGAGAAAGCGCAGGCCCTGGGTCATCTGCCTCCTGCTGGGGTGGTGCTGAGCAGGCGAGGAGTTGGGAACAGGTAGAAGACACCCGCCTCCCTCAGAAGGGCAAGCCCAAGTAATGGAGGTTGCTTTGTGTTCCAGATCCTCATGGGAGTGGCTGCCTTTTTTGCCTTTATTGACATTTGTCTCCAAAGAAAACACTTCAAGGGCAAGAAGGTCAAGAAGAACGTGCTGGTGCCCCCGCCGCCCAAGGGTCAGGAGCCACCCAAAGAAGCTGAGAAACCCAAGGAAACAGAAGCAAAGGCAGAAAAGGACAAAGGGAAGGACAAGGACAAGGACAAAGGAAAGGACAAGGACAAAGGGAAGGACAAGGACAAAGGGAAGGGGAAGAAGTAACTCGAAGGAGACGCTGGGCGTCAGAAATGGCGGTGTGTCACACAGCCCACCGCATTGCTATCACTGTCTTCCTTCAACAATAGTTGCCTTTTCCATCTTCATCACCACCTCTTCTTGTCAAAGAAATCCCCTTCCCCCTTAAAAGAACTCAAAAAACGTGAACTTGATGTCGATGTGATTTTGTTCATTGCACAAAAGTTCCTGGAAGTTACAGCTGCAGGGCAGGAGGCCTCCAGAGCTGGGCCTGGGGCACACGGGGTGGCGAGGAGGGGTTGCTGCCTATAGGCTGCAGGGCACAGAGAGCTGTGGGGACTTGCAGAATGATGGGTACCCCTGGCCATGCACTTTAATTGACCAAAGGCTCAAAAGCAAAACAGGAACAGGAAACAGTCCCTTTTGCTCACACCAATATTTTGATGTCGTTTGTTTTTTGTTTGTTTGTTTTTTAACCGATGATGTCAAGTTTTTTTAAGACACCAGAGCAGTCACATGCAGAGGATGTTTTTGGCTTGCCTTGCTTATACTTTGCAGCTTAATGTTAAGCCTCCTTTGAAATTCACCAAGGGGAGGGAACATGTTGGGGCCTGATTCACGCTGGCAGGCAAATGAACCAAGTCAAATAGGCAAGGGGTACCAGAGTGAGGAAATCCCTCAGAGTCAGACAGCCAGCCTTCTGGGACCTGGAGTATAAGTCTCCACAGAGAACTTGAACATGAGCCTGAACTAGGCTCCAGCGGGGCCTGGGAGTCAAGGCCAACATTTCAGCCTCTCAAGCTCTTGCCCCAGGGCCCTAGCCTTCCTGGGCTGTCCAGGCACCTCAGCAGGGGATAGGGTCATCCTTAGGAAGTGACAGCCCCAGCCTGGAAGCAGAGGAGATGGAAGGAGGGCTGGAGACCTCAGCCTGTAGTCCTGGGTTCCCCAGGACGAAATGGAACAGTAGCTGGGAGGGCAATGTGGTGGTGCAGTAAGTGAAACTTCCACCTGTGACACAGGATTCCCATAGGAATGCTGGATCGAGGTCTGGGTGCTCCACTTTCAATCCAGCTCTCTGCTAATGGGCCTGAGAAAGCAGAAGAGGATGGCTGAAATGCTTGGCCCTGTCAAGCATGTGGAAGACCCTGGTGAAGTTCTAGGCTCCTGGCTTCAACCTGGCCCAGACCCTAGCCATCATGGCTGTCTGGGGACTGAAACAACATATGAAAGTGATCTCTCTCCCTCTCTCTCCCCTTTACTCCCCTACCCCACACCATCACTCTGTCATTTTTCCTTTCAAATCATTGTTAAATGGTCAAGAAATACAAACGCATACTATTCTGCCAAAGAGCCAGAAGCCTGCTCTTAGGTATTTGACCTGGAGAAAATGGGTTATGAAACTGTTCATAACAGCAACCATCAACATCAACAACAACAAAACTAGACATCTAGAACCAGATGTTCAAAGGGAGATGCCAGTGTGCTGTGCTCACAGGCTAGGAGACAGTACTCAGCAGTAGACACAGCACACGGACAAATGTCACATCTTGGTGAAAGAAGCCAGGCATGGAGAAACACCCAAGGCCAGTTCTGAGATGCCCAAGGACGGAACTTGAGTGAAAGCTGTTGAGGGAGGCAGCAGTAGCCTCAGGGATGGAGGGTGAATGCTAATGATACAAAGGCAGAGGGACACTTCAGGGAACATTGAAATCAGCTGCCTTCTAACAGGGGCCCACATGAACGTCCACATTTGTCCCAACATGCAGTCAGGAGGCCAAAGGCTCAGATGCCATTTGTGGCACGCACATGTCCCACACAGGAGGGCCTGGGTCCCATCCAGTCTTCACTCCGGATTCAAGCATCTCCCTCCCACACCCCTGCTGTAGGCAGCAGGTGACTGGGCCCCTGCCACCCATCTGAGACTGGCATTGAGTTCCTGGTTCTTGGCTTCAGCCCAACCCAGCCCTGGCTGCAGCAAGGGTCTGAGGGAGGGAAGGAGACCTCCGGCAAGCTCTGTGACTCTGTGCCTTTCAAAGAAAATGTTAAAAGCAGGACATGCCAGCTGAGGGTGGGCGTTGCGAGCCATTCAAAGTCCACATCACAGTGGAGTACCCAGAGGAGAATCCCAGTTCCACATTCCTGCTGGGAGGCAGCAGGTGCTGGCTCAAGTGGCTGGTTCTCCGCCATTCACCTGGGAGACCCTGACTCCTGACTCCCAGCTTCAGCCTGGCCCAGCCCTGGCTATGTGGGCATTTGTGGAATGAACCATTTGATGGAACAGATTCTTTCTTTTCTTCTCTACCTCTCAAACAAAAATCATTTTTTAAAATGTATTTTTCATTGTAGGTAACGCTTATCTGACAGTGTGAGCTAGTACCCAAGGAGGAGTGACCCCTCCTAGACTCCTCTCTCGCCTAGAGCATGAACTGGTAGCAGCTTTACTAATGCCACAGTGGCAGCCTCAAGTTTGGTTGGTTATCTTTGTGTTGTAGAGTTGTAAGAATAGTTTATGGGAGCCAGTGCAGTAGCCTATCAGCTAAACTCCTCGCCTTGCATGCACCAGGATCCCATATGGGCACAGCGCCAGTTCTAATCCCAGCAGGCCCGCTTCCCATGCAGTTCCCTGCCTGTGGCCTGGGAAAGCAGTGAAGGAAAGTCCAAAGCCTTGGGACTACATCCGCGTGGGAGACGTGGAAGAGGCTCTGGGCTCCTGGCTTTGGATCGGCTCAGCTCTGGCTGTTGCGGCCACCTGGGGAATGAATCAACAGACACAAGATCTTCCTCTCTCTCCTCTCTGTTTTCTACTTCATCTTGGTCCAGCTCTAACCATTGTGGGCATTTGAAGAGTGAGCCAAAAAAATCTCTCTCTCTGCCTTTCCAAGGAACTAATTAAAATGTAAAACATGCAAAACAGCAGGCAGGATGCAGATAAGAAAATCAGGGTAAAAATAGACAGTGAGGCTAATAACTTTATAGGTGAATGCGTAGAAGAAACAAGGCTGCTTGGACCTGCGTTGACACTATTTTATTAAAACGAGAGGGCGCCCAGGCCAAATGCCACTGTTGGCTAAGTCTCCACCCTGAGTTCGTTCCTGAGTCTTTTCAAGGCAGGCTACTTAACTTTCCCTTTCTCTAAGCTTGGAATCACTTTCAGATAGACGGCAAAGAACATTTTTCTCATTCACAACAGATGGGCCATGTTTTTGATTCTCAAACAGACAGAGCTCACAGAAAACTACAAAGAAACAAAGTAGAGGTCAAATCTAATTAGGAAAATCAGGGTCAAAATCTCCAGGAAAAACATAGATTTGGAGGTTGATCGCAAGCATAGGCCATCTTCTACCATGTGAGCCACACCCCGCACACAGCAGAACGGCATCGTGGAAGGCTGGCAGTGGAATTCCTCTCCCCTCTCCATGAGGAAAGCAGCCAGTGATAAAAAGGAAAGTTCTCTGTGGCAAAAACAAAGCGAAAGAGCAGAGCATATGCCATCCCTACTTCAGAGAAAGGGCCTCTGTCCCAACTAGATACGCTTTTATGCAGCGACTACTTTCCTGTACATTGTAATATAATTCACACAAAATAAAATACTTGGAGGCCGGCGTTGAGATATGGCAGGTAAAGCCACTGCCAGCACCACTGGCATTCCCTATGGGCACTGGTTCATGTCGCAGCTGCCCCACTTCTCGATCTAGTGCCCTGCCAATGCACCTGAGAAAGCAGCCAAGAAATGACCTGGAAGAAGCTCCTGGCTCCTGGACCAGCTCCAGCTGCTGTAGCCATTTGGGGAGTGAGTACAAAGGTAAGATCTCTCTCTCTCTCTTCCCTTTTTCTGTCATTCTGACTTTCAAGTAAATAAATAAATGTTTCAGTATACAGTATGATGTGCTTAGACAAATCTACCAGGAGAAAATGTAACAAACGCTGCTGAAAAATGCAAGTCCAAGTAGACTGCAGTGCAAACTCTTTTGGCCTCCTTTGCAGGCTCCTTCCACACTGCCCATTCCACAGGAGCTTTTTGAAGAGCCATTCTATCACGCCCATGATCCCGGGTCACTCTCCTCCCTGCTCAACCCCTCCCATCCACCCCTGCAATCACAAGAAAGATGTTCCCATCTCCCCAGCAGGTTTTCCTCTGTCCTGCCTGGCCAGTGGCCAGCAGCTGGTTTCTGTCACCAGCTTGGGAATCTCATAAAAGACAAAAGCCATACACTGTGTATCTTTTTTGAACCTGGTTTCTTTTGCTCAATGCTGTAACATCCGCCCTTTATCAAAGGCGGAGTCGTCCACCCCAGCCCCCTCCCCCTGCTCCTGGGCCTGCGCCTTCCTGTTTGGGCTATTAGCAGGCAGGCTGCTGCGAGCCCCCAGGCGGGCATCTGTCTAGACGTGGACTTCCAGTTCTTCCAGTCAACGTCCATCAGTGACGGAGGTGGACTAATAGTCGCCAAACTGACACCCTGTATGGAAGTCTCACTCCACAACAGCTGGCCACCCCCAGATGTTTCCTACACCCTCCACTGAACCCTGTTCCCTTCCAGAAGTCATTTGAGGGGAGGTATTGTGGCAAAGTGGGCGACCTACACACTCAGGCATCTCAGATCCGAACAGAGTCCCAGCTGCTCTGTTTCGGATCTAGCTCCCAGTTAAGGCAGCTCAGGAAGACAGCCCGGGCACCTGCACCCCCCCAGCCCCCCCCCGACCCCCTGCCAAGCCATGGTATGGTGTCTTTTGCCAATAATGAAAATACTGGAAACCAGGTGGCCAGGTTATTTCTGTGGTATCTTTCACACCAGCAACAGCATGGCTCTGTTGGCAACCACACTGCTTCCCAGGCTAGCACCCTTTCCTCACACGGGTCACATGATGGGGGAGGGAGAGCAGCATCTCAAGCCACTCCCTGAGGAATGCTTTTGTGACCACCAAGATCTTTTCTCACTCTGCAGGACTCGCACTTGCAAAGAAACCCACCCTGGGCATCACGGCTTGGAGGAAAGTTTTCCCCAATGATATCCAGGTAGGTCTTTAGCCTTACCAAGCTGCTTCTGGTCTGATATTGTCTGGAAGCTGCTCCCCAGGCGTGTGATGGGAGGAGGGCATTGGTTCAGCTGTGGCAGATCACCCGGCCTCAGTACCACGGCCTACGCCTTGCAGCCGCTTCCAGGCAGCCAAGACCACAGCCCGCCCCAACCCAAGCCCCGCTTCATGTAGAATCTGCGAGCCAGCCAGGGATGCTCTGTCAAGGCAGCCACCTATCTCCTTTGGGGAACTGTCTGCTCAAACCGTAGTCCAATTTGAAAATAATTAAGTTGTGTTATAGCGACAAAGTTCAGAACCAACTTTTCAATCACACAGACCTATGTGCCAGCTGTGAGGATAACCCCAAAGCCACCCCGCTGCCAGCCCTTCCTCTGAGCCAGCAAGGTATCAGGAATCAACTTCATAGATGCTTTTTCGGACCCAATGAGCGTTCCCCAGGACTGTGAGAGTGCTTCCCTGCTGCTGCTGAGGAGGGTACCAACAAAAGTCAGGGACTGACGTTTGCGCTGGCCGTGTGTGCTCTGAAGAATAAGGACTTGCCAAGAGAATCAGGGCCCAGCAGCAGCAGACAGGACACCAGAGTCAGCCTGTGCAAAGGCCCTGGGACACAAGGCACTGGAAGGAAGGACCTCCTAGGGCTTCCAAGACACTGGGCAAGATAGGAAACTCCCAAGGTTTGTTTTCTGTTTGTTTTGTATGTGGAGAGTGGGCAGTGGGGATGGAAGTGATCTGGATTGATGATTTCAGCACGTCTGTAGCTGCCAAGGGAGGAAACCCAGAGTGCTGGCGGTGGCAGTGGACGGCCGCAATAGGAGCGTCCTGGAAAGGGACGCGGCGCAGCAAGCTTCGCAGCCGAGAGGAGTGAGCCCAGGGGAGGTGGGCACGGTGAGAGCCCCAGCGCGCAGGACGGCAGGATGCGCCTGCCCTGGGAAGGTTACTCTAAGCCCTACCTAGAGAGAGAGAGAGAAAGAGAGAGAGAGAGAGAGAGAGATCCTGGGGGGCTGGGCGCCGGGGTGGAGAGCGATGGCCCCGAAGCAGCTTTTGAACAAAGGGACAGTAGAGTGGCTGGGAGGCAGCCAGGGCACCGTAAAGACACGGAGGCGGAGGTTGGAGGAAGGTGCAGGCAATGCGATCGGGTTAGCCCCCTGGGGTCCCCAGCCCACGCACGAGCAGGAAGTTAGACGGCGGAGGGCGAGGTTGACAACTCCGCTGGCCAGAGACAAAAGAGTGGGCGTCTCGGCGGACCGCTCCAGGGTGGTAGTGAGGGGACCCGGGGGAGGGCCTGGACGCCGGGGACGTCGGGGGGCCTGCTGCAGGCGGGGTCCCCGGGGGCGGCGCGGGGGTGGGGCGTGGCGGCGCGGGGGCGGGGCGGGGGGCTGCGCCCCGAGCCGGGCTGGGCTCGCTCGCCGCGTCCTCCTTCCGCACAGCCCGGGTTTCCGCTTCCCTCACAGGCGCTGAGAGAGAGGGAGTGAGGCTGTGTCTCCGTCCCACCACTCTGCCGTAGCCGTCGCCTCCAAGGCAGCCATGTGGCCCCCGGACCCCGATCCGGATCTGGACCCGGACACCCAGGCGGACAGCGGCTCCCGGCCAGGGGCCGCGCTGCCCGCACTGCGCGCCCTGCTGCCGCCGCGCGCGTTCCTCTGCTCGCGCAAAGGCCGCCTCCTGCTGGCCGAGTCGGTGAGTGCCGGGGGGCTGCGAGGGGTTGAGGGGCCTCTGGGTTCAGAGGGTGACCCGGAGGTGGGGTGCCGGGACCGTCCCGGTGACTCCTTGGGAGAGTTCCGCCAAGTTAGACCAATGTCCCGCCAAGTTTCGGAGGGGCTCCCCTAGCTCCGAGCGCGAAGGGGGCCCGAACCTGGGCCTCCGCCGATGCCTTGGCCCACAGGAGGCTGGGGCGATGGCACGCTAGGCGGCCTCCAGCGCCTCGTGCTCCCAGTGCCCATGGGACCTCTCCGTTGGGGCGCCCACCCTCAGGACCCCCCAGGTGGCTTTTCTGGGCGCAGGGAGGGCAGGCCCGAGCTGCAGGGAGGCGGGGAGGAGTCCAGTGCAGCGGGAAGAAGGAGCCCCCCGGGACGGGGTGAGGGCCGACCCGGGCAGTGGGGGGCGGGGCCCCTGCGGGGTGACCTCATCCTCCCCACCCCTGCAGCCTGGCTCCCGCCCCGGCGCCCTCCTCCTCCTTCTTTTCCCCCTCCATCTCGCCCCGCTCCCCTGCGGGGCGGGCCTCTTTGTCCTTCCGACCCTAGGAGGCGGCCTCGACGTCGCGTGCGGAATGGGGAGGGAGGAGCGGGCTGGGCGGGCAGCGCTCGGTGGCGGCCACTTGTTGCGGTCCCGCAACTTGATAATGCCTGCCACATTGCCATTTGGCAGACAGGAGCCTAGGAGGTGCCTGATGTCGGGGCTTCAGCAGGTGGCTGAGAGGGGGGGATGGGGGCGGGCAGGGGAGGGGTCTGCCCGGGATCTCTCAGTTGCACCACGCAGGGCTGACGGCAGGAGGTTGCCCTGTGTCTCTTGCCTCTAACCGGCCCAACACCTACCCGACTCCTGGGGTCGGCCCCGTGGCTGGACACCCTTCCCCACCCTGGAGAGTCCATTTTGGGGAGGAACGTTAACTTCACCACCTTCTGAGTGAGCTTCATCCAGAACCCCCTCATGGATGGGGGAAGGAGGCACGGAGCATATAGGCAGCGTGACCCAGCCGGATGTCGGGAATCTAGGCTGGGGGGAAGCAGGAAGTGGGAGGGATGGGCACATCTGGCCCCCTGGGTCAGTTTTGCCTGCCCCATCAAGGGCACAGCTGTGCTGAGTTCAGGAATAAGGAAACTGGAGTCTATACAGGGGATCCCCAGAAATCAGGCGTGCGGGGGTGGGAGGAGGAAGGGGAAGAACAAAAAGCAGCAGACACAGGAAGTAGGGGTCCCAGCGCCACCTTCCGGGGATGCCTTGGCTGTCCAGCAACCCTGTGTGTCTCAGTGTCTCCCGGCCCTGGAGGAGCTGGGAGACTCCCAGGACTCCCTAGGGGCGGGGTGCAGCTCATTTGCCTGCAGCACCCGCAGTGTTTCCTGTGGGCTCTGCTGGGTGGCCCCAGGGGACTTCCCAGGCCCCACCCCAAGTCCCTCAGCCACCGCCATGGCTGGACCAAGGCCTCTCCAAGCATGCACAGGTCAGCCTGGGCTGGGTTCGCACTCTAGTGCCCTGTTAGTGGAGATGCCATGTTAGCTCCTCCCCACGCAGGTGCCCAGGAGGATCAGAGCAGCTGTGCAGAGGTCTCTGTGGGTGCCAGGTGCAGCGAGGCTGCTGTGCGGGCAGCCAGCTGCATGGTGCCCAAGGCCCACCCTGTGCCACACATGGGCTGCAGGGTGACACACACCTCAGCATGAGCCAGGCTGCAGCAGACTTTGGTGGTTTTTATCATCGCTGTTTGTTTTTTAATCTCAAAAGTGGAGAAAGAAATTTTTCACCTGCTGCTTTACTTCCCCCTCAAATGCCCCTGACTGAAGCCAGGATCCTGGAACTGGACCTGGGTCTGCCATAAGGGTGGCAGGGAACCAATTACCCGAGCCATCAGCAATGTTCTTCCTCCCAAAGTGTCCACTAGCAACAAGCTGGACTCCACTGGCCTCCAGGCATGCCCGGAAGGGATGCTGGCAAAGCCCTGGCATCCCAAACAAGCAGGTTCCTAACCATCACACCAATGCCTGCCCCAAGCTGTGAGCTGTTTTCTTTTCCTTAAGACTTAAATTTGAAAGAGTTACAAAGAAAGAGGAAGAAGACAGATTTCCATCTACTGGTTCTCTTCCCCCAGATGACCACAATGGCCATGACAGGGCAAGACTGCAGCCAGGTGCCAGGAGCCTCTTCCAGGTCTCCCATGTGGGTAGCATGGGCCCAAACATTTAGGCCATCTTGTGCAGCCTTTCCCAGGTCTTCAGCAGGGAGCTGGATGGGAAACGATGGGAACTCCAGGAAAAGAGCCAGTGCCCATGTGGGATGCTGGTGTTGCAATGCCAGCCTCAGCTGTGCCAGCTGTACTGTGAGTATAGCTGGCCCCAGATTTCACTACCTCCCCTGGTGCTTTCAAGTGTGGGAAAGCACTGATTGCTATCATTAGCACCATGTGCCCTCCCCCAAGGCTGCGCAGTAACGGACACCTTGGAATGGGTGTTGTGGTGCAGGGGGTTAGCCTCTGCTTGCAATACACACATCCCATGTCTGAGTTCTGGGTCACAGCTGCTCCACTTCGGATCCAGCTCCCAACTAATGCACCTGGGACCTGGAAAGGCAGCAGAGCATGGCCCAAGTCCTTGAGACCCTGCACCCATGCGGGGGGCCCAGACTGACCTTTAGGCTCCTGGTTTTGGCCTGGCCCAACTTTGACTGCTGTGGCCATTTGGTGAGTACACCAGTGAATGCGAGCCCTCTCTGTCATTCCCTCTCTCGATCATTCTGCCTTTTAGATAAATAAATCTTTACCCTCCTCTCACCAAGAAAAAGTTATTGCCTTGCTGTATTCATTTGATCACTTGTCGATCCACCCATCAATTCCCTTTATTTTCTGGTCTTCACATGAAGTTGTAGAAAGTAGAGGTAGGAACTTCATAAAGGCTCAGGGATTCTGTTTTGTTTTGTTTTTTTCCAGGCAACATTCACGTTCAGTGAAAAGCAAGAAGTCTTAGGGGGCAGTTGCTTTTGACACTGGGTGCTGCTGGGTTTGGATTCATCCCCCTTATCCCCCTCCGCGCTGAGTGGATTCTGCCAGAGAAGCAGTTAGGAGACGAAGCCATGGTGGGGTGCTCCAGGGAATAGTGTAGACGTGGGCCCAGGCTGGTCCTGGCAGCAGCAGGACTGTGGGCTGATGACTTCCCTGCTGGAGCCGCCTCTATCCCCTGGAATGAATATCCAAGACCACCTCTGACCTCTGCCCTCCACCCTTCCCTGCAGGGTCTCTCGTTCATCACCCTCATCTGCTATGTGGCATCTTCCGCATCTGCCTTTTTCACGGCGCCTCTGCTGGAGTTCCTGCTGGCCCTCTACTTTCTGTTTGCTGATGCCATGCAGCTGAAGGACAAGTGGCAGGGCTTGTGCTGGCCCATGATGGTGAGAGCCAGGTCTCGGGAGGCCAGGGTTGGCTGTCCATCCCAGGGGGCAAGTGCGCTGAAGGGTAAAGGTGCCCTGGCACACTCAGCTGCGCGGGCAGTAAAGGATTGTGGCGCCTTCCACGCTAGTTTCTGGGACACCACCAGATGGCGCCGGTGCTCCCAGCTCGGCCTTGGAAGAATGCGTGCCTCTGGCCGCAGGAATTCCAGCCATGTCACGCGGGCAGGGGGCAGGGCGGGTTAACTGAGGACTAGCGGGGCTTCCCCAGACCTTAGTACTCCTGACTTTGTGGTGTGGTCACTGGAGAGAACTCTGAGCCCCCACCAGTGAGCTTTACTTAAGAGGGAGAAGCCTTAGAGGAGCAGCGGTAGGAATGAGCAGGAAATGAGACCCACAAATGCACGTGGCCAAGGGGGCCCAGGGGCAGGCTTCCTGATGGAAAGGTGGTACGGAGCTGGGGGAAAGCAGGTGACATTGCCAACTACTGCCTCCCCACCAAATGGGCTGGGTCACAGAGCAGGGGCCAGCAGCCTGCAGCAGGAGGGCCCAAAACAGGACAGAGCCCTGGATTGGGCTGCTTCCCACTCCTAGTGCCCCCTCAGGTGACCTCTGTCCCCAGGCCTTGCCCTTCTCTCCCCAGGACTTCCTGCGCTGTGTCACAGCAGCCCTCATCTACTTTGCCATCTCCATCACGGCTGTCGCCAAGTACTCGGACGGGGCCTCCAAGGCGGCGGGGGTGAGTGGCCCTGCCCCTGGGAGAGGTGCCCTACCATGTGGGCTGGATATTCCCTCTGCCCTAGGGTGTGGGTGCCTGAACATCCTAGCAGGCTGGACTGCTCACTGTTCCCATTTGCCTGTTCCTGGTGGCATCTCCCACCGCCCCTCGGCTCAGTGCCCTCCTGGTGCCATGGAGCTGCTGTATAGCTGACGCCCTGCCTGCTGTGCCCCACAGGTGTTTGGCTTCTTTGCCACAATCGTGTTTGCTATTGACTTCTACCTGATCTTCAATGATGTGGCCAGGTTCCTCAAGCAAGGGGACTCTGCGGACGAGAACACGGCCCACAAGGCAGAAGGTGAAGGTGGGTAGGCACCCTGCACTTCTGGTGGGTGGGAGGACCCCAGCTGCCCAGGAGAAGAGGCCGTCGTTCTTACCTCCCTCCCTGCAACACTCCTAGGGCCAGCCCAGAGCGCACCTGGCCCCAAAGGCACCCCACAATGCTCTTCCTGGACAAGCCTGCAGAGCAGCCCAGGCCTCCGAAGCACCTGTCCCCTCCCCCACACTCACCCTAGGGCCCAGAGTGTCCACCTGCCTCCACACAGCTCCCCCTGCTGGCTCACTTGCCTCTGGCTTAAGGAACAGGGACCTAAGCTGGCATCCTCCTTAAACTCAGAGAGGCTGGCAAGCATGGGGCGACTGGGGGCCATGCCGACTACCACGTCATGTCCTCTGTGCTGGGGGAGGCCTGAAAGGGGCCTGCTGGCTTTCTACTGTTTTAGCTTTGGGTTAGGAAGAGAGCCACAATCACCTTTTCCTCCTTAATGGAGGTATAGATGATACAGGTGTAGGGCCTCCCCCTGTGGGAGGAGCCCAGAGGACGGGGCCAAGAGGAAGGAGTGGTGGGGTCGCAGCTCTGGGGAAAGGGCAGCCTGTGCAGGGTCCATGGCCTGAGCCCGCCCTCTTCTCTGCTTCCCTTATAGAAGAGAATTCTGACTCAGACTCTGACTGAGACCCTCCTGACAGTACTGTGGCCGGCCAGGGGCAAAGCTTCAACCGCTCTGCAGTGATGGGTCGTGCGGCCAGAGCAGGCCTCCCCGCCACCCAGGTTCCACTTCCTTCCCTGAGCTGAGCACCTACAACCACACCCCTCGGCTCAGCCCTGTCAGGCGCTGTGCACATGGGGCGTGTGTGTGTGTGTGCAAGGGTGTTCCCCATTTCCGTCCCACAGGCCCAGCACTTTTTACAGTCTCTGCTAAACTCTGGTCCAAGGAGCCCATGCAGATGGCTCCCCCCTCTGGCCACCATGGTGAGCAGTGTCCACACATGGTGCCCCTGCTTTTGCCAGGAGCTCAGTGGAGACTGACCCTGCCCGGGACCTTTATGCTCCAGGATTGGGTCCTTCTGTCCTTGTAGCAGGGAGAGAACTGACTTTGGCCTTGGTCATCTGGGCACCCACAACTGACACCTGTTACCCCACCCTGAGCCAGAGACTTCCTGAGGACTTAGCACGGACAGTTTCATGATGGGTTGCTGGGCAGGCCCAGCCACACCCCTTCTCCTGGGAGCTGGTTCTTAGGACCCCTGGAGAAATTCCAGACACCAAAGTAGATCTGCTGACCTTGCCTCCCGGGAGAGGACACACACCTTGTGTGTGCAAGGTCTTGCACTGTGTCCACATCTTTGATGGGACTTTGTAACTTTTTATAATTTTTTATACATGTATGCAAAAGCCGTTTTACCAAAGGTATTTTCTGAGATCTGTGAGGCTATATGAGTGGTGGACATTTGTATCCTTGGAATTTTGCATGAGGCTCTCCCACCCTGAAACAAAGCCGGAATGAATTAAAGCAGCCCCACAGTATGCTTGAGATGTATGTGTCTGGAAAGCCGCCGCCTGCCGTGGTGGCCCTGCCCCAAGCCAGACCGGGTCACGCCTCTGAGCCCTGGTGCGGTTCCCGTTCCGATTCTACAGGGCATGGGCTGGGGTGGGCGGTGAGGCCTCCTCTCTGCCCCGTCACTGCCCTGCTGGGTACTCTGGGAACCTCGGGCCACTGTGCGCATCAAGGCCATGTTCCCAGCTGGTGGCACTTCAAGAACCTCAGTGTCACACAGTGGAAGGTCCTGGTCGGTGAACTTCCCATGCCGATGGGAAGGAGCCCAGCTTTCACACAGGAGCCCTGAGGGTGGTATGAAGCATGCAGGGGCAGAGCCGGAGCACAGGCCAGCACTGAGCGGAGGCCTCGGCCAGCCCACCATCATGGCTTCATCTGGGGAACCAAGGTTGTGCGCACAGAGGTGAGAAGGAAGACTGGTTTTTGCACATCCATTTATTAAACAGGAACTCCTTCATGACAATTTAATACAATAGTAGCGATTAGTGTCGAGAAAATTATTTTCCTCTACATACAAAAATACAGATTTGCACACTAGGAAAACAACACAAATGCCATGAAGAATTGGTCCTTCAAAAGACACTGCAGGGGAACCAGGGATACCACGCTGCGCATCACTGGGGACAAACGGACAGGAGCCAGAGCTCTGGGAGCCCCTCTTCCCTGCCCCCCGCTCCCTGTGCCTGGTCGAGTCGGCCCTGGGAAAGGGTAGGGGGACCCCTGTCCATCCGAGAAGCCAGGACGGGAGTGCTGGCCAGGTGGGCACCACCTCAGGATGCCCAGAGCTGTGTCTGAACTGCTGAGGAGACAGACTGGACAAGCCACATGAATGGGTGGGCACAAGGCATCACCCTCAGCAGCAGTCTTGGCAGCATTACTGCCTGGCAGACCTGACTACCCGCTGTATCAGAGAATCATCGGTTCAGACTCAGGGCTGGCTCTGTGGGCCTGCGGAGATGACGGCCACAGCAGGGACATCAGGAGACATCTTGGTGCCAGGAAACCTCCCCAGGGCTGGGATGCACCTGCTCAGAGCCAATGTGTGAGCCCTGGGCACTGGGGAGGAGCCGGGAACCGGAAGAGGGGGAAGCAGAAGCAAGCACACTGATGACAAGGTCAAGGTAGGAAGGCGCCTTCCCTCTGGTTCTGAGGAGCTCTCTCCAAAGTGGTAACAAATTACCAGACGCAGTTACACCAATTCATCATTATTTCACAGAAACACAGACTCTCTGACAATCTAAATCAGAAGCAAGAGGGCGCTGGGGAGGAAGATGCAGATGATGCAAGAGGAGCAGCCGGGGCAGCGTGGGGTGGGGGAAATGGAGGGTGAGTTTTTGTTTTGTTTTGCTTTGTGTTTCTTTTTAAAAATACATTATGAAGATTAAAGGGAAGATGGCCTACACCAGCATTGTGGAAAGCAATAGTAAAAGGACTCAATCTAAATTCATGCTACAAAAATAGTGTTATCTGGTTTAACTAAATGTACATCTTCTCTTCCAATTCCGTGATGGACAAGAGTGCTCACATGACACATGGAAGGCACCATAGGTGAAGTGAGTATTATTTGTCTTCAACTACACAAAAACAGAAGTACCTACTTGGAAAAATAAATCATAGTACAATCGCACTTGTAATAAATAGCTTCGTGTTTCCATCACGGATTCCGGAACCCCTGCCCACTACCACATATAGAGACAGCCTCACTCCCTCGCCACCCTGGTTCCCACAGCGTGGTGCTATCCAGCTGGGTCCGTTCACCGTGACAGGCTTGGGAAACTCACTTCCCTGGGGGGTTAAGGATGAAAGGGCTGGGAGCAGGCTGGACCCTCTGTGGGCCAGGCTGGGGAGGAGGGGAGCAGCCCTGGAGGAGTGCTTCCCGCCTGGGTGTTCCTGGTGCTGCTCAAGACAGTGTGAGATTCTTCCCGACTTCTATGCAAACAAACCACTGTCAAAATTGAATCTTGACTGACAGCTTTTCTCGGTGTGGGCACAGCTAAAACTTGCCCAGGACCCCAGGAGGAGGCTCATGACGGTGGCTTGAGACAATCCCCCTGTGGTAACCCAAGGTCACCGTGAGCAGCTTGCCCACCCTCCCCCATCCCTGGGACTGCAGGAGAGTGAGTTGCCCAAAGCAAACTCTTGGCAGAAAAACCTTAGACGAGATGACGAGTGAACCCTCTTGCCAGACACCTCCACTATCCAGGGACCCGACAGCTGTCCCAGACCAGTGACTCCAGCTCTGAGGGAGACCTGATGATGACAAACCAAGCTCCCACACCCCAAGGCTGGGAAAGTACCCACACGGATGGGAATGCTGTCTGGACAGAAGGAAGGGGAAGCACAGCTTTCTCGGCTGGACCCGATTGTAGGATTCCCCGTGGCAGCAGATGCAGAGTCAGGACAGCTGACAGCACAAGGGTGACAGGGACGAGCTGGCATCCTGTCCCCAAGGACACCTGAGCCCAGGCTCATGGTTCCCACGATAGGTGCCAGGAGGCCGCCTCCAGGCCCACAGCCTCCATGGAGGGGGACAAAGCAGGAGCGCTTTTCCCAGGCTCATCTGGGATGCTGGTGTGCTGAGCTCCAGGCTGGGAAAGAGGGAACAACGTGTGGCCTGCACTCCTTCTGAGAGGTCCCCCCTGCATGGACCCAGGCAGTGAGTGTTGTGGCAGTCACTCAGGCCGGACGAGGAGAGGAGCCTGGGAAGCCTCTGCAGACCCCATGGGCTCACGGCAGGCCCTGCAGACCCCGTGGGCTCATGGCAGGCCCTGCAGACCCCATGGGCTCATGGCAGGCCCTGCAGACACCATGGGCTCACGGCAGGCCCTGGAGACCCCGTGGGCTCATGGCAGGCCCTGCAGACCCCGTGGGCTCATGGCAGGCCCTGCAGACCCCATGGGCTCATGGCAGGCCCTGGAGACCCCATGGGCTCATGGCAGGCCCTGCAGACCCCGTGGGCTCAAGGCAGGCCCTGCAGACCCCATGGGCTCATGGCAGGCCCTGGAGGCCTGTGCTCCCAGTCAGCCGAGACACCCGGCCAGAAAGTGTTTTCTCCTTTTACCTGTTGGTTTGATGCTACTAAGTCTCTGTTAAAACAAAATAAGATCTAGAGACAACAACTTGCACGTGGTGGCTGCTCGTGCCTTGAACACAGCTGGCACTGCAGGACCCGGTGACCTCATCACTGACCCAGTGCCTCCTTATCTGGGGTCAGGTGCAGAAGCCTTGCATGAATGGGGCACTGACCACAGCCCGCCTCAGAGTGCGTGTGGATGGGTGAGGGGCTCCTTCCAACCAGCAGGGGACACGATTGGCTCATTTGTGGCAAGCAACACTTGACATGCATGTAGAAAATTCACATACACACACGTACAAAAGCATTAACATGGCCTGGTCTCAGGGAGGCGCTGTGGCCCCACCCAGCATAGGCTGTGAAGAAAGCTTCAAGGGAGTGGGGATCAACATGTCAGCTTCAAGAGGTTGAGGGGCGTGGAGGAGGGTGCTGGCTTCCAGCCAAGCCCCAGAGCTCTGGCCAGAGGCTGGGGATCAGATGCAAGGGGGCCACAGGTAGGTACCCTCCTGGCAGGGACAGTTCCACAGAGCTGGGCTCTGCCCACACTGATGTCACCAAGGCACATGTGAGTCTTGGCCCAGCGCAGCTGCCACAAAAGTCACCACCCTCAGACAGCTGAGCTCTTTAACTCAGCCTCCCTGATGTGACTTGAAGCCAGCACAGCCTATGCTCGCTCCTGGCTGTATAAGGGGCTGCCTCATGTTCAGGACTTCACTGCCGCCACTGCTTCTGCAGCGGAGGTGCCTCTTCTCAGTGCCCAGCTGGGCCTTCTCCGCCAGCCAGACCACACTGTGGGCAATCCAGCCCAAACCACCTGGGCTTCCACCAGCCACCAGGGCGGGCTCCAAAGCTCAGAGGCTCAGCCAAGCCAAGAAGGCTGCCTCAGCCTCAAAAGTATCCCCAACCAGACGGGCCCTGACCCACATCAGAACTATTCCACGGGGACATGATGCTTCCTTCAGTCTGCAGAGGGGTCCTCTGGAGGCCCCCGAATCTGGGTCATCTTGCACAGATCACCACACTGCCTTTGCCATTGCCATCCTCCCTCGCGCCCCTCCCCCGCCTGCATGTGATGATGTGCGGGGACGACTGTGAACTCTGCCTATGAGTAAGGTGCACCTGGATCCCCACCGCATAGTTGGGCATAGGGGAATCTGCAAAATACAAAAGCCACGGGGCAGCCAATAGCACAAACTCCACTGAGCAGTAACAAGGACTTAAGTCGCTGGAAGGTCGCATCATATCGGTGCACATTCACTCCCAACGCATGGCAACGGACCCTCCTCACTTCTGGTCATTGTCTTCAGAGCTGTTTCTTAGACAACTGACCCTTTCTCCCCAGTTCACACATAAACTGGCTACACTGAGGTGATCTAGGAAAACTAGACCCCAAAAGGCATGGCTTTCCTTCCCTGGGGCTGAGCTACAGGACTCCCAGGTATGGGGGTATGGGGACATCTGATGATGCTTAGGACACCCCTTCCACGTGGCCCCCGGCCAACACCAGGCACAGTCCTGAGGAAGGTGAGTCCAGCTCTGGATATGCAGACACACTGGACAGATACAAAATAAATACATCCAGCCAACAGTGAGAAATCCAGACATCCTCTCTGGCCCTTCCCACCCCCACTTCCCAGATCACAACATAAAATCAGTCCAAAGTTTGTGATGCCTGACTCCTATCCATTCCTAATACCCAAGTGTGGGAGGCAATGCATGCAGCTGGGGCCAGGTCTGGCTAGCTCCTGGGGAGGATGTGGGGGAAAAGGCAGCCGCAAACTAGCTGTGTCAGCTGCCGAAGCAGCCCACGGTGCTGGGACCCATGGCCCAAGCCACCGCCCCTGGCGTGCACTGCCACGGGACTCCCATTGTACTGGATGTTGGGTTTGGCACCCTGCTTCGTACCACTTCCTGGAGAGGCCACAGGCTGGCAATGCTCCCCAGTCAACCCCTGGACAGCGCTGTGACTTGCACAGAAAGATTCTCTCGCTGCATGCACGGGGACAGGGGGTCACCTCTGCCCCCACATACAGCCCCCAAGCCCCTGTGTACAAGCCCAGCACACCTTGAGGCTGTAAATATCCAGGACAGGCTTGAGGGGCTTCTCAGCGTACCAGGACCCCTTCCCACCACGACTGACCCACGACACACTGAGCACGGCAGCCAGAGGGAGGTTTGTAAACATCAAAAGTAGCTCCAAGAGTGAAGATCAGACAAATAAAAACCATTTTTTTTCCTGTAAAAGATATAATTATTCTAATTGGGAAAAAACCTACAGCATGATAGGGACTCATTTAACTCATTCATCTCAAAAAAAATCATCTTCACTTGATCATCAACCAATCAAAACCTTAAGGAACCAGGATTTTCTTTCAATAACTCCTCAGCCTGATGGGTCACAGCAAGGACAACAAAGCACCCCAGGTGACAGCTGGTATCCCCCCAACCCGGCGTCAGAGGGAAAATGTGTCCAGTGTCTTCCTGAGTCATGCCGGGACTCCGCAGCCTCCCTAGCACAGAGCAGGGATCCAGAGCGGATTCCATGCACATCCCGCCTGTGCTCCCAGGACCTATGTGTGGGCAGAGACCCTGGCTGCCACGGTGGGTTCCATTTCTTTCCTGGCTTTAACCCAAGAAGGTAAAATCACAGGAAGTTACCCATTCCACCTCACGGGACTTAGGGGAGGAAGGAAACTGGAAAACAGGGTGGTCCCCGTGTTGCTGGAGAAGACGCAATGAGTCTGAGGATTCATCTGGGGAAGAACTGGGCGACTCAGCAGGGCAGATGATGGGAGGGGACCCTCCCAGGAGTCACCTGTCCCGGCCACCAGCTCCATCAGCACGCTCCTGCCCAGGACTCAGGGATCTATGTGGTCTCAGCCTTAGTGCTTGGACACCAAGCAGCCAGGCTCACATGAGCCAGGACAGACCCAGGATCTTCCAAGCTGGCACCTCCAGGCCTTATGTTCCCCCCTTTCTAGAAGCAGTCCCATGGAACCCAAAGGCTCAGCTCTTCGCAAACACACATGGATGACACTGCTTAAGGTCAGAGGGGTGCCTGTGCTCCAAGATGGTGGAGATGGAAGGACATGGTAGGTGGCTGGCAAGGCCAGCTGCTCCAATGGCCTTCAGGCGCCTCTACAGCCTGCCCTGGGCCCACCCATCACACTGCCTTGGAATCCCAGCAGGACAGAATTCCATCGCATCAAGTGAGGATTTGGCGAGCCGAGAGAAGGGGACCACGCCGGGGTGGAAGGGCCGAGGACGGGAAGAGGGTGGAGGGCAGAGGATTGGCGCGCGCCTCACGTGTCCAGGCGCTGGATCTCTGGGCGGCTGTCCACATCCCGGGACTCGGTGCGGGCTCGGATGTAGTCGTTGGCACTCTGCTGACGCATGCTCAGCCTCCACTTCTGCACAGCCAGGAACGTGCTGGCCGCATACACCGCTGTGGCCAGGAAGCCGAATATCTGTAACACAAGGCATGGCTGACCCTGCTGGCACCAGAGCTGCACCCTGGGCAGTCCTTCCCCGCCTGATCCCACTGCCGAGGCTGCTGGGCGCAAGGCCACGGGGGCAGCAGAGGCTTAGGCCCCCAGACGATCCCACTGTAACAGACGACAGCCTTCTATTCAAGTACCCAGGACATGTCAGAGGCCGCAGAGTTCCTCTCACAGGGCTTCCGTGGCCTCTAGGTTGTGAAAATACAACATAGATGAAAGTTGGGGACCCACGTGTCAGCCTCACACTGAGCCATATGGCCACCTTCTATGTGCAGCCTCACTGCTGCCCAGCCACTTCTCGCCTGGACAGCCCCAAGGTGAGAAGCAGCAGGGTTTTTTTTTTTTTTTTTTTAATAATTTGTAAAGTCTGAAGTGTTTTCTTTTAATATTTTATTTTTATTGCTAAGTCAGATATACAAAGAGGAAGAGAGACAAAGAGGAAGATCTTGCATCTGATGATTCACTCCCAAAGCGGCCGCAATGGCTGGAGCTGAGCCAGTCCGAAGCCAGGAGCCAGGAGCTTCTTTGGGGTCTCCCACATGGGTGCAGGGTCCCAAAGCTTTGGGCCATCCTTAACTGCTCTCCCAGGCCACAGGAAGGGAGTTGAATGGGAAGTGGGGCTGCTGGGATTAGAACCGGCACCCATATGGGATCCCAGGCAGCAGGGTTTTAAAGCTTTGATGAAGTGGCACCCAGAAGAGCTCCAAGCACAACTCTTTCTTACAAGTGTTCGAATCCCTCACCCCACCCTGAGCTAGGAACGTAAATCTTTTTAAAGCATTGTCTTTTTTTAAGATTAATTTTTATTGGAAAGGCAGGTATACAGAGAGGAGAAGAGAAAGAGAAGAAGATCTTCCATCCATTGAGTCACTCCCCAAGCAGCTGCAATGGCCAGAGCTGCGTCAATCTGAAGCCAGCAGCCTGGAGCCTCTTCTGGGTTTCACACTTGGGCGCAGGGTCCCAAGGCTTTGGGCTGTCCTCGACTGCTTTCCCAGGTCACAAGCAGGGAGCTGGATGGGAAGTGGGGCTACTGGGATTAGAACCAGTGCCCATATGGGATCCTGGCACATGCAAGATGAGAACTTTAGCCACTAAGCTACCACAAAGGGCCCAAACATGAAGTCTTGTAACTTGGGAACAACATAGACATGTAGAGCATGGGGAGTGGAGGCCTCACACACTCCAGGAGCCCTGCCCCAGCCATGGCACCCCACCTACAAGACACTGGAGTGGCCCAGGGCCTGGGGCTCTCTGGCAAGCCCCACTCTTTCCTGGCAGATGTGACTTCTACAATATCTGTTGTTAGGCAAGCAGCAGCTAAGGGTAGCGGCCAAGCAGGACACATGCCAGGGATGGTGGGACAGCAAGCCACAGGAGGGGCACCAGGCAGCTGTGACTCAACCCCTGGAGCTCACTTACCACGGCAGTGATTTCTGCTCCGGTTCTGTGGTTTAAAGCAGCCAGGGCAATAGAGGCAATGAAGAAAAAGAAAGTGCTGAGTCCAGTGTTGACCAAATCCTACAGGAAAAAAAATAAAAGAGAGAAAGAAACCTCTTGAAAGGGAGTATTCCATGCTCTGTTCTAACAACAACTTTCAACTGTGGACGCCCAGAGATCTAACCTCAGTATAGCTCTGAGCCTTGGTCCACGTCCCAGGGATTTGGTCACACAAAGCAAGATGAAGACAGGAGCCACTCCCGACACTGCTGGACATAACCCCTTGGTGAAACTCGCCTCCTAACCCACAGCACAGCCCTGTCTCGGCTTAAGGACTGACAGCCATGCTGCTCTCGCTGAGCATGGCTGATGCATCAGCTAGCACGGACAGGGCTCCCTGTGAGTTGAGAGGCACTGAAACGAGACATCCCACCAGCACACACATGACTCGCATCAAAAACGCTCTGTGCAGCTAGAACTCACAGCCCATCTTACAGTCTTTCTATGGAGCTGAAATCTGGATGGAGTGTGTTCCCCTCAATTCTTGCCCAGCTCATCCGGTTACAGAGATATCACTGCACCAGACTTAACTCCAGTCATGCTTGAGAAAGGAACCTACGTAGTTGGAGACTGAGTTAGAGCCAGGTGAGGGCCTGGCTGCACACTGGACCTGAGATAAGCCACTCTTCGTCCTGCAGCATAAGGGGCTTAGGGACTGAACAGGACCCTGCATGCGGCGAGCACACCGCCTGTTCTGCTGTCACTTCTACTGGTGCTGCTCTGACAGAAGAGGCTCCCAAGTGCCCAGGCTCTAGCAAGTGCTTCCAGCACCTTTACAGGACAAGAAAATTCAGGAAGAAGCCCTAACTGTCTCACTGTCAGGCGGACTACACTGTCCACACACGAGGAATTCTTTCGCCTGGCCAGCCTGCAAGGTGGATTTTTAAAGATGGAAAGTGGGGTGAGAGGGTAGTCCAGTGGTGATGACACTGATCGGGAAGCCTGCCACCCACACTGGAAGGCCCAGGTTGGCTTACCGGCTTCACTTCCTGATTCCAGCTCCCAGCCAGTGCAGAGACAGCGCTGGCCCAACTAATTAGGTTCCTGCTGTCCACGCAGGAGGCTAGGTTGAGTACCCACATGCCAGCTGCAGCCCTGGCCACCTGCAGCCCTGGGTGAACCAGTGGACTGAAGTCCTCCTTCTCCCTCTTTTGCTGTCTCCCAAATAAATAAATAAAATGCACATTTAAAAATAAAAATGCAGATAGACAATGTTGGCATGGTAACAGGCCTGCGCAACAGAAACCCCGGCTGCTCCAGCGTGGGAAAAGGGAGCCCAGAAGCAGCAGCCAGTGCATCATGGCTCAGCTGTGACGTGCAAGACACAAACACAATCCTCAAAGAGTCCAGTTAGGCATGGTTCTGGGGTCGGGGCTGGACAGAGTAAAAGGGAATAAAAATCTCCCTTGCTAAAGCAAAGACTATTTGGAATGCAGGAAAATAGTTTGTGACCTAACACTGAGGCCAAGCAGCAGACCCCACAGCACCACCAGTGACCATGTGGAAACACCAACATTTGTGGACTTCTTTCCAATGTTTATCAGGTTATCCTTTAACATTAATCAGATACCTAAACTGACCTCAACGCCAAGCAAGAAGGTCAAGGACCAGGAGCAGAGGCAGCCTGCAACTCTGCGTGCCTTCCCAGGGACGTGTGCCTGGGTCTCCCTGCAGCCAACACCCTGCAGTGAAGACAGGCCTCAGATCCGGGCAAACCCAGGAGCTGAGTGGCACCATCCCACCCAGAGGGTGCCAACTGTAGGGTCCACCTGTGCAGTGTGTGGCACAGACCTAGACAAGCCAGCACCAGAAGGCTGCGCGCAGAAAAATGCCCTCAGGAAGGTAACGTTCACCTTCCAGCTATGCTCAAAACCTTGGACTAGAAGACTCACTGAGTAAATGCCACAGGTGATCCCTGGTCCTTTGAGCACACCTGGAAGGCGGTGTTTTCTGGGAGCGCCCCTTGACAGATTCCTCCTTCAGGCCTTTCACCCAAAGCATCCTTCCCTCTCAGATCCTAGAGACCACCCATCCCGTAGAGCTGACGAGTGGCCTGCCTTGCATTTCCTGTTCCCAAACCCTAGCACAAAGCAGGTACATGATACGTTTGCTCAGATGACTGGGGCACTTGGCCATCAACCACACCTAACCACGAAAATCCCCAGTGAATAGCCTTGCTAGGTGCACCTGAACTGCTAAACTCATGCTCTGGGAGGGAGCCGGTTCTGAGTTCAAAGTGGATCCACAAACTTCTGGGCATCTCAGGCAGAGGTTCCTGCACAAGAGATCCACCGACCTCACCCAGCAGACTGCTTCCAGTGACTGCCCTGGGCTGCAGCCTTTACAACAAACCGGTAATCACATGCCAAGCACGTCCCTGGGTCCTATGAGATGTTCTAGTAAATTATTATTATTTTTTAAAGATTTATTTATTTTAATTGGAAAGGCAGATCCACACAGAAAAGGAGAGTCAGAGAGAAAGATTCTTCATCCACTGGAGCCAGGAGCCTCCTGTGGGTCTTGCCCCATGGGTGCAGGGTCCCAAGGCTATGGGCCATCCTCTACTGTTTTCCCAAACCACAGGGAGGGAGCTGGAAGGGAAGTGGGGCAGTTGGGATATGAACTGGCACCCATATGGGATCTCAGTGCATGCAAAGCAAGAACTTTAGTCACTACACTGCTGCCCCAGGCCAAGAATTTTTTTTTAATAAATTCATTTTTATCTTCCTTGAAAGATCAAAAGACAGAGAATATCTCCAACTTGCTGGTTCACTTCCAAATGCCTATAACAGCCAGGGCTAGACCAAGCCAAACCCAGGAGCACAGAAGTCCCAGTTCCTTCACTTTTGATCCAGCTCCTACCTGGGAGAGCAGCAGGAAATGGCCCAAGTACCTGCCCCCGTACCAGCACAGAAGACTCAGAGGAAGCTACTGGCTCTTAGTTTCAAACTGTCCCAGCTCTGGCTCTTGCAGCCATTTCAGAGGTGAATTAGCAGATAGAAGATCTCTTTCTCTGTCTCTCCTTCTCTCTGTACATCTGACTTTACAATAAAAGTAAACAAATCTCTTTTTAAATGATTATTTATTTTCATTGGAATGGTAGATTTACAAAAAGATCTTCCATCCACTGTTTTACTCCCCAGATGGCCATAACAGCCAGTGCTGAGCTGACCCAAAGCCAGAAACCAGGAGCTTCTTCCAAGTCTTCCATGCAGGTGTAGGGTCCCAGGGACCATCTTCTGCTGCTTTTCCATGCATAAGCAGGAAGCTGGATGGAAAGTGGAACAGCCAGAATACGAATCAACAGCCATATGGAATCTTGGCAATTTTAAGGGAAGGACTGGCCAACTGAGCCATCACCACAGACCCCAAAATAAATCTTTTTAAATGTAAATTAAATGTAAAACATCCCCTCACCCCCGCTTTCAGCACTAAGATAAAACCAGCCAAGTCTGCCACTATCTGCTTTCCCAGATCAGTGATCCTCCTTGGATTCTTCTCTCCTAAGGAGAGTGTGCATGTGCCCATCTGCATGACACAGAGGCTATTCTGCCAGAAGCCTCTCCTGACATGCCCAGGGCACGTCCCTCAGAGACCTTGCCAGGCAGTGGATCGGCTTGGGCCCCTTCCCACAGGGCCACCCTTTCTCACGGTCCTGTGCCTGCACACATCCAGTACCAGCCAAATAGATACACAGCCACCGCACTCCAGAGCCCAGGCCCTGAGCAACCGCAGGTCCCCTCGGCCCTGGCAGAGGGAAGTTGGTGCCCCCATCCATCTCCTCCACCCCGCAAGGGGTAGCAGCTGCATTGCCTATGGGGCTCCCCACCCCCAGGACAGAGGGTGAGGCCGCCTAATACAACCGAGCTCCTGCACCTGCTTATTTGCAAAGAACTATCAAGAAAACCAGTCACATGGACATTCCTACTCAGCACACAATGATAGGAACAAGTAGCACAGGCTGGAAATGGGGTGGGGCCAGGACCTGGCCAGCTCTGGGTGTTCCAGTAGAGCGGACAGCTAAGGCTCAACAGCAGAGGACACATTTCCTTTCAAGACTTTCTGATCAAACCTTGTAACCCACCATCCCCCACCCACAGGCCTCCCCTTCCCCACCAGCTGGTCATGTTGTACTCAGTGATATTTCTAGGGTTCACATATTATTTTTTTAAAAAGATTTATTATTTTTTTACTGGCAAGGCGGATATACAGAGAGGAGAGACAGAGAGGAAGATCTTCCGTCCGATGATTCACTCCCTAAGTGAGCGCAACGGCCAGTGCTATGCCGATCCGAAACCAGGAGACTCTTCTGGGTCTCCCACAAGGGTGCAGGGTCCCAAAGCTTTGGGCCGTCCTCGACTGCTTTCCCGGGCCACAGGCAGGGAGCTGGAAGGGAAGCGGGGCTGCCGGGATAGAACCGGCGCCCATATGGGATCCCGGGCGTGCAAGGCGAGGACCTTAACCACTTGCGCCACCGTGCCGGGCCCATGTTCACATATTATTAGCCTGTTATTAGTACATTCAATTCTTCCAGAATTGAAAGCTTTATATACTGCTTTTGTGTCCTATCTGAAAAAAAAAAATTGTGCATGGACTAATCCGCTTTCTTTCCCGTACCATGAGAACATCAACATCACCAGTCATCTTAGAGCGTCACAAAGCCAAAACAGCACCTCTTGCAGGACTAACATGATCATGGTGGGCACGTGTCCACCATCTGTCTCCTTCAACCCAACAAAGAATTTTGTCAATTTCATGGATGAGCTATGACAGAATCATTAAGGATCCAGCTCAACTGGAACCCCATAGCTCTCTCAGAGGGTGCTCTGGCGTTCCTGGTCAGACAGGGGCGGCTGGTACTCACGGTCAGGTTCCAGTTGATCTGGGGGATCCGCATGTGCAGGTTGAGACTGAACATGATCAGCAAGACACCAGTCACCACGAACGCACTGCAGCTCACAAACTCAAAGAAGTAGAGGCCTTCGCACGGGGAGCACTCCATGATGGTCTCAATGCAGATAAAGGCGATGAGGGCCAGGAGCTGCGGAAGGAACCATAGACCCACATGTGAGTAAACACGCATGCAGTGGCCTCCCACAGCAGGCTTTGGGCTGGAGCAGAGCCCATTTCCAATCCTGGGAAAAGACAGATCTGAGAAGGGAGCAACTAAATACCTCACAGGAAGAGGAAAGGCCCAGCTCAGCAGGGCGATTTTGGGCCCCTTTGCCTGCAGGTGGTGGATACTGCATGAACTCCAAGCTCAACACAGAGTTGAGCAGAATCAATTCTGTGCCATCCATAGCTACCTTGGGGCTTCAGGCCAAGGTCACCAGGTTACCTTTGACCTTGATGGCTTCCCCAACTGCAAGTGCCAAAGACAAAAAGCCCATGTAGTCCATCCACAGGTTCTCTAGAGAGAGCTAGCATGTACCAAAAAAAAAAAAAATTCAAATCCACCAACACAGCCAATATCTCTCTGAAAGTCCCTAATAGCATTTTAGCAAATGTGCTCCAAAATTAGAAAATCAAATAGTTCCCCATGAAAACTGCCAAGCAATCCGCTGTTGATTTTTGAGGGGCTAACAGACAAATGCTCCCGTCGGCAGGTTCTCTCTCCAGATGCCTGTGACAGTTGGAGCTGAGGAGCAGCAGGCAGTGCCTTCTCACTGTTGGTTGTGTTGTGTGTGCACCTCAGTGCACCTCCGGGTACCCTGGGGGCCATGGAGGACAAGGTCGGCTCACTTCCATCTCTCTCTGCTCCTGGGACACCACACACAGTAACCTGCACACAGTCAGCACGTGAGGGCTTGGCAGCTCCCAGAAAACCCACGCCTGTGCTTCTTCGCACTCTTGGGGACCAGGTATGAAGGGAGAGTGTCTCCACAGCCCTCGCTTGCTAACGGTCAGTGCATGTCTCACTGCTTTTCCACTCTGCTGAAGAGATGGGTCTTAACAGGTCTGCATTCCATTCAGAAAGGAGTTCAACAGCTGTGAGGTAAACACGGCGCCCGTGGGGAACAGTGGTGTGGTGTGGCGTGCTTAGGGAATGGTGAAGAGAGACTGTCGGTCCTCTGCCCGTGAAGCAGCAGGTCTACATGCACATGAGGTAGAGCACACGCTCGTCGGTGTGCTGGCACCATTTCAGTGCACAGGTTTCAGAGCATCGTGGTGCGCACAGTTCTATTTGTCCATTAAAAAATAACAGATGAGGGCCTGCTTGATGATTTGATTGGCTAATCCTGCACCCTGAAAGCGCCAGGATTGCTTATGGGCCCCACGTTGTGTCCCAACTACTCCATTTCCCATCCATCTCCCTGCTTATGGCTTAGAGAAGACAGGAGGATGGCCCAAAGCCTTGGGAGCCGGCACCCACACGGGAGACCCTGAAGAGCCTCCTGGCTCCTGGTTTTGGATCAGCTCAGTTCCAGCCATTGTGCCTTTTGCATAGTAAACCAGAGGAGAAAAGATCTTTCTCTCTGTCTCTTGGAAAATCTGCCTTTCTAATAAAAACAATAAACCTTTTTTTAAATCTGGAATGCTTCATGAATTTGCATGTCATCCTTGTGCAGGGGCCATGCTAATCTCTGTGTTGTTCCAATTTTAGTATATGTGCTGCCTTAGTGAGTACAAAACAACAAATCTTAAAAAAAAAAAAAAACAGATAAAAGTCTTCCAGCATACTCTGTGTCCCTCCCAGTGGCTCTCCTGACCACCTTACATGGACCTGGGGACTTTCTAACTGGCCATGTGACTTTCATACCTAACTTGCAATCAATTCATGTAAGGAGACAGTTCACATAAGGAAAACCCCCCAACTTTCCTTTTTTATTTCTTCACTCCTAACACAAGGGCCACAATGGCATACTGAGTGACAAATGTCCCTGGTATGCCAGTCTCAATCATATTACTGCACAAAGGTAACTCCTACAAGATAAGAAATGGCTTCTGGACTATGCAGATCCTACGGGGCTGTTCCTGACAGCAGCGGTGAACACAAGACCAAAAATCCCGCTGCTCCTTGATGCATAGTCTCAGGAAGGAGATATTTTTAAGAATTAAGCAAAAATAAATAAATAAATAAACAAAAATAAATTTTAAAAAGGGGTGGGTGATACAGTGATTTAGAACAAAAGGAAAATGTGGGTGTAGGAAAGCAGGACAAAGGCTGGGGAGAAGGCAGGGGATTTAGCGGGCTTGGGACCCAGTGGCTAGGGAGGCCCACCTGGGAAGGTGCTACCGCATAGAAGTGGTACAGCAGCCTTCAGCTGTCACCAAGAGCCACCAGAGCAGCTAGGAGTGGCACCAGCAGATTCAGGTCTTCAGGGCCACCAGCTGCTGTACAGAGGCCAGACAAGAGCGAGAACTGGGGCAGAAGCTCGGAGGAAGGTTAGCAGGCCTTTGTAACACCATGGTGAGGGGTGATGGAGGCATGGCCTGGCACAGATGGTGAGCACTTGCTGACTTCCAAGCATTGATGGGTAACCAGACCAAGGGGAAGAGAGGGCAGGCTCCACCTGAAGGTCTGGGTGGAGCAGGTAATAGAGCTGCGTTGTAGAAACCTGGCAGGAGCCAGTCTGGGGCTGGGGAACGTCAGACACTCAACTGGACAGTTGAAGGACAAAATGTGCTGTGCTGGCCGTTGCAGCCCAGATGGAGGGAGACCTACTGGGATATGGAACAGGATGAGATGACACCCTGGCTATCGGGGAGCCCCACAGCAAGGAGGGTGGCTGAAGGTCAAGCGAGGGGCCTTCCTTCGAGCCCACTATGGGAAGCAGCAGATAACCTATGTTTCAATTCCTGGCTGCTGGATACAAGATGGCCCCAAAGCCCACACCCCCTGGTCTGCTCCTCCTTGTGACATACGTGGAACAAGGCAACATGCTGTCATGTACAAGCAATGTCACAGATGTGTGGCTGCCTGGACTAGAACAGAAAAGTCCCTGTGGTCTGAGCCTTGCTCTTGTCTCTTAGGTGACTGCCTGGGGAAACCAGCCTCTTACTTCACAGTGAGGGAACCCCCGTGGAAATGGGCCTCAGTCCCACCTGCTCCTGCAGCCTCCCAAGGGAAACAGAGCCAAGCCACTTGACAGCTCCTGACCCACAGCAACCAAAAGATCGTGTTTTAAGCCACTGAGCTTTTAGAGTCACTCAATAACAGACAAAATATGGGGGGTCGGGGAAGACCCTTCTTGTTGTTACAAGATCATTAATGAAATTAAAAAGAAGCATCTGTTACTAATGATTGCAGATCAAGCACCACAAAGGCACCTCTTATTCTCCATCATCTAGTCCTCCCACCCAAGCCAGAGGCACGTTAGCTCCACATTACAGGAAGGGCAATGGGGGCCCTGGTACGACCAGCATTTAACAGCCCACACAGCACCCTCAGTCTCTCCAGCTCTTACTGGCCTAGGATCCCACATGCCCATCAGTTCTTCACCCACAAAGCAACATCTTTCTCTGTACTACTCAACTGATTTTTTTTTTTTGCTGTATTGGTCCCCCGCACTTGCAATTATCTGTTGTACTTCATATGTAACGCACCTCAACTACTGATTGTGTTTCAAGCACAACGAGAACACACATAAAAGGGCTCTATGAAAGATGAAATGGTGCACACAGGATCAGGAAATAAAAAACACAGTGTAGGCACCTGGCATGGAGATGAAGTCACGACTGGGAGGCCCACGTTACAGTGACTCAGTCCCAGTTCTGGCTCTGTTTTTGATTCCAGCTCCCTGCTATTGCTGCTGAGAGGCAGCAGATGGTTGGCTCAAACGCGTGGGTGCCTGCCACCCGCATGGCAGACCTGGACTGAGTTCCCAGCTCCCAGCTTCAGCCTGGCCCAGCCATGATCGCATCAGGTGCTGCAGAGTGAACCAGCAGATGGGAGCTCTTTCACTCTACCTCTCAAAATAACAAAGCTTTTAAAAGAACAAAAACATGTTAGAACCTATGCATAGTGTTTAACCTATAAAACATTATTATACAGTTTATTTTCTAGCCTACTGCTTTTAATATTGAAGATCCCCATCATTTCTACATAAATAGAAATATGCATAATATTTCAATGACTACATAGTAAAGATATATGTACAATACACACAGACACATCTGTATACCTCCCATATGCTAATCAATCCCTACTGATGGGTGCTAAGATATTTTCTAGGTTACTATAGCAATATACTCCTCACTGACACTGGGCAGAGCAAAATGTCCAGCACAGAATAATCTAATAACCACTATGAATGTACAACCTACTTATTGACCAACAAAAAGAAAACGGTGACTCAAATTTACACCAGCAGCCAAAATCTTCAAGGCAACAAAAGGTCAGAAGCAATTCAATTGACAACAACTCAGGTTGAACAAATCTCATGAGTGCAACCTGCACAGAGGTCCCAGGGAAAAGCTGCTGCATTTGCTAAGCTGGTGATCGGGATGCCCTTGGTGGGCCCTATCCTTGTACTGCCAACCAGCTGACTCAGAGTAAACGTTTGCACAGTGCATAAGTAAATCAACACTGGGAGGCTGTCAGATCTCCACAACTGGGATTCAGACAGAAAAGGATTGGGAAAGGGTGGGGCTGAAATATGAACAGCACCATCACTAACACATTCTGCTCTCCTGGTCCCAGGCACATGGGGGAGCTGGCAAATTTCTCCTAACGCAAAGCCAACACTTCAGAGCCCTCACTGGCCCCCGTTCCTTGTCGGACCCTGGAGGGGAACCCCAGCAAGGTGACAACACGGTCACGTGTCTGCCCAGCCTGCCACAGTTCCTTCTGCCAAGCCCTGACAGAGTAACAGCAGGTGTTTTGGGGGCTTGGCTGACGAAGCTGAAGCAGGGGTAGCAGGGGCAGCTGTCACTTCCACACATGCTGTGCTCCCACAATCTGCCGAAGGGGAGGATGGTAGGGCTTCCAGAGATGCTCTGGCACCCACTGCACTGTCAGGCCCCCAAACTCACAAACTAATTTGTCCTCCAGTTCCCAACACCTGGGCAGCAGGGAGGAACGGAGGCAACCTGGATGTGAAACAGGCAGCAGCCAGGAGCTTACCTGAGAGATTCTTCAAATCACCAGATGCATAAGCCTGCAAGTGGGAAAGCCCACCATTACGAGAGGCTGAGGGCCAGTTGCACCTCACCGGGAACCCACCCCTAATACAGTGCTCCACACATTCCCTGCCTTAGTGCGGATTGAAGGAGACGGCATTTATGAAAATCCCAGGGTTTTCCGGGCACAGGGCGGCAGCAGTCCACGTGGGAGGCTGTGGTTCTGGGCGTCCCCACATATCGGGTTACACATCTGACAAAGCTTGACATCCTTGAATAACAGGGCCTCTGAGATGCCTCCAACTCACAGACTGAAGAAACAGTATTCCACTGACTAACTCCTACATGAATTCATCAATACTCGTGAGCCTTCAGGAACATATTGGTTATATAATGATACTGCAACCTAAAATCCAAATTATGCTTACATACTCCTGGAATTCAGACTGGTTTTAATAAAATTTCTCAGAACTGTTTATTATACTGAAGTTTACATACAATGAGAAGCCTCTGTTTCAGTGGAGGTCAAAATAAAAACAGAAGGAAAATGCTTTCTAACTGTCACTTAGCAAACTTCTCACTCTAAATACATATCCACTATCCTCTCTGGATTTTGTATTCTTAATTATGAATCTTTTTCCTTAAAATAAGTGTCCAAAATCATCGAGTCTCAAGCTTTCAAAACCTCCATCTGCTTCTGGCTTTGTGCACTCCAGTGTGACTGGGTGAGATACCTGCGGCTTCCAACAGCAGCCTTTAGGAACCATCAACATTGTCACCAAGCTTCCCCCACCCTTCCAGCTACAACCACCAGCCACGTTTCTGGTCTAGGAGACAGGGGAACAAATGACCAACAATGCACACACAAGGTACCCAACTTCACACCCAACAACAGCAATGATAACTGGGATATCATGTCCTCCCACCAGATTCAGAAAATTATAAAGTGATAGCTTATTTTTAAAAATGACTGATTTCTTATGTCTTTCAAAAAGCAGAACTATAGACAGAGAGAGATACCATCTGCTAGTTAACTCCCCAAATGGCCACAAGGCTAGAGTTGAGCCATTCTGAAGACAAGAACCTCATCCTGGGTCTCCTCTGTGGCTAGCAGAGGCTTAAGGATCTGCACCGCCTTGTTCTACTTTCCCAGGCACATTAGCAAGGATGTGAACTGACAGTACAGCAGCCAGGACTTGAACTGGCACCCACATGGGATGTCAGCCCTGCAGGTGCTGACCCGAAAGTGGTATCTTGTACGAGTGACAGAAAGGGCACACAGGCATCTCCCACGCTACCGTGGCAGCACGGAGAAGGCCTTGCGGCACAGGTCACACCATCATCTGGGATACCAGCATCCCACCCCACAGGGCTGGGTCAAGTCCTGGCAGCCTCACCTCTAAACCAGCCGCAGATGGCCCAGCTAGAAGCAACATGGGTTGCCACTCTGCAGTTCAGATTTAAAAAAAAAAAAACACTGGGAGTGGGCCTGGCACAGTAGCCTAGAGCTAAAGTTCTCGCTTGCATGTGTCGGGATCCCATATGTGCACAGGTTCTAATCCTGGT